TCAGCGGTTCAGCAGGGCTGTCCCTGCTTCCTCTCGTGCCGATCACCCTGCAGGCTACCAGGTGTATGGGCAAGCTTATGGCCATACGTTATGGCCATCCTGACGTTTCGCTGCCTGTGTGTGCTGGGGACAAGGGCATTCGGAGCAGGGTGGAGGAGCTCTGGGCTTCGGCCCTGGCAGTTCTTGAAGCGTTTTCTTTGCTCCTCCCTTGCACGACTCTGAAGCAGGCGGGACGAGGAGGGTCCGGCCGAAGAAATATCCGCCTTGTTGGTTTGGAAGGCAGCCTCGCGTGAGGGTCATCCAGCTGTTACAGCTGTCACTGTCAGCACATCTGCCTTTCCTCACAGCTAGGGAGAATAGGCTTCTTTAGCTGTCATCAGAGATGACTTCTTCTCTCTTCCAGCAACAGTTGGCCTTTGCAAAGCTCTAAATTAGCCTAGGAGGCCCGGGCCGGGTCCTCCTGCTCTGCTCACAACACCAGCTATTGAGCGGCGTGAAAGCTTCCTCTGTGCCGCTGCGCGCTCTTCAGCTGCCCTATTGATTTTGTGCAGGGGAGAAGAAAGAAACCAGGGCAAAAAAGTAGGAGCTTCTGCCAAAGCGGCCCTGGGCAGAGCCCGTGCTGCTGGGCTGGAGGGGAGGCCGGCACTGAAAGGATGTCCCGGGAAGGCTCCTCTCTGCAGAGGAGATTCCTCCAAGGCTGCAGGGTTCTCCTGCATCCCCGTACCCATCACAGGTTCCCCTGGCTTTGGGCTCCCCAAGGCTTTGGAAGCAGGCTGCAGCACCACAGGTATTTACAGCCTCCCCTCGAATGGAGAGCGATGCTGGGGACAGTGCTGCCTCCCAAGAGTTTGACTCAATCTCGTGTAGCTGATGGGAAGCAACACCCTAAATCCGGCCTCTGCTTTTGGACAGAGTGCGGGAAATCTCCCAGTGCTCCAGGGTCTGAGTAAGGATGATTGGGAAGTGAAAGCTGCAGCCTGGGACACAGGAAAACCAGGTTGCATTCCTGATCTGAGGGAGAATGCACACACATCCCTGGACAAATAGTTTCATCTATCTGCGCCTTGGTTTCCTGCTCGTAAATGATACTCCTTATCTTCTACCTCTCATCTCAGTAAAGGAAAGTTTGTCTTTTGGTATGTATCTTATTACAGTTCTTTGTCCAGTGACTGGGGGCCCCTCTCCCTTGGTAAAATAAATAATTTAATATAAATTAAATGGTCTAATATAATCCTGCCCAGTGGTTACTAAAACACTTGACTGAAAGTTCATTGAGAGCCCGTCTTTCCATTTCCTCATAAGGCCAAGACATGAAGTAATTAGATGTAGACATAGGTTGTTATTGTAGGAAAATGACAAAGATCCAGTGGTTATTGGAAGGAATGGCTTTTATAATCTAGTTTAATGGTCATTTACCTTTCAGTGACCTTGGTGTCAGGCAAAATTGGCAGCTCTTTTATAAGGAATGTGCTCCCTCAATGGGGGCTTTGCAAGCTGCTACATTTTTTGGCTCTAGCATCACATGAGCTGGGAGAGCTGCTGCTGTAATGCGAGAGACTTTCTGTCTGCAAAGAGTGGCTGTAGACTGGTGCCAAAAGAAGTCCTTTTCACTGTCTTACTGCCACTGAATTGCCATTGAAACAGCTCAGTCAGCTCCCAAGCAATTCATTGCCCATTGCCTCAGCCAAAGCTGCAGCCTTCGCACAGAGTGTCCTGTGTTGTCCGACTGCTTCCTAGGAGCTCCTGGAGTAAAAGGCAATAGGGTATTTTGCTGATGTAGTTGCTCAGTCTCTGATTAAATGTGGTGAAGGAACTGGTAGTTCTATTTGTAAACCCTATAAGCTTCCTTCCTACCTCATGGTTTGTATATTTTTTGAAGTTAGCTCTTTTCAATGGTATTATCTGCTCTTTGCATGTGCAGATCATCCAGGTTGCATGCATCGATCATGCTGATCCTGCATCACTGTCCACCGCATGTTGGGAAATCCTCATGGTTTTATGCAGCAACTGATATTTGTGGCTGTAGAGAAGGAGCCTTGTGCTATCTAGTACCACCACCTACCTGTGTGCCTTGCCTTGTTAGGATATACAGCAGGTCAAGACCTAGGACTTGAGAGGACTGGCTTCAGCAGAGATTTACAGGGTGACCTTGTCTAAGTCTCTGAGCAAGATAATAGATAATTTCCTGGTTTTGATGAATAATTTTAAGTGCTGTGAAGTTGTTTGCAAGAGCCTCAAAAAGATCAGTTCAGTCTTATTATACTTGGGGGTTCCTAAATAAATGCTATGAGACTTTTAAGACCTGCACAGTTGTGCAGGAGGGTTTTCCCAAAGCACCTCTGAGTGCATTGATGTGTATTGTGCTCAGAACTCTTATCTTCATTCTGCTGCTCATTTGGTTTTGCAAATGTGTTCCTTGCATCTAACCGCTGCCCTGAGGACTGGCAAACAAACCTAGCCAAGAGTCATCCTTTTACCTGATAATATTCCTAAACTACTAAGATAAAAAGGGCGAAACAATACAGCTTTGAGGGAGAGCCATCCATTTCGGGCTGCTTTGAATAACCACCAGCCTCATTTTGCTATTAGCAAGTTCAATATCCTCTGTCACTAGAGGATAGCGTGATAGATTCTCAGGTGATACCAGGCCAGCACTCAAAATCCTGAGGTGGTTTCATGTCCATTAATGCTGAATAGTTTTTAGTCCTGTTGACCTGCTGGGACCCTGCTGTGGTTTTTGCTTGCACAAAATATCTTTCAGACTCCTCCGTATTCATCCCTCTTCCCCTTTGCATTTGTCACTGTCTGATGAGGATTAGCGCGTCTCCTCCTGATACGAGAGGATGAATAGTCACATTCATTTCAATGGCAGTTTATTTTTGCAGGTATCAGGTTTGGAGAGGGAATGTGCAGCTGAGATCAAAGGGATATTTGCATGGAAGCAGAGCGTTTATGTCCTGCTTCTTGCTGAAGAAGAGCAAAATGACTCTCGTCAGTCGCTGAAGTCTGAACCCATTGAAATCTGACGGAGTCTTTCCACTGACCTTTATGGCCCCTGGATCACGTCCTAAATGAGTTGCTTTGAGTCACTGGAAGCCTGAATTCAGCTCTGGTGGGCTGGAAAATGTAACCTACTGTACATACTGTGCTATTCAGAAGAGCTTGATTCCATGTGTCTGCTGGTGTGGATGCTTGGGAAAAGAATGAGGGCATTTTCTGCAGTAGTGGGGGTGGGAAAGGGAATTTTTCCCCCTTCCCCAGAAACTGAGTAGCATGACTTCCATGCAGGCAGCTGTTGAGAACTGACCCCCTTCTGGAGCTTTCCATTAAATTTGCTACTTCTTGTGCTTCTGATATCATCTCCGACAAGTCCATGTCCTGTCCGCTGGTTTGAACTAACAGGAATGAGTGAGTCCAATAAGGCTGTGATTTATCCTCGTGGGAGTTTCTCTCCTTATAGTTAGAAAAAGCAGGTTCCTGGGAGCTTGGGAGAAACAGGTAGCAAGTGTTTGCCATAAATGCCTACAATTCATTATTGAATGGTACTTATTGGTGATATCCAATCTTATCATCACCAAGTACTACCTCGTTCCTTACAACTTGTGAAAAATGCTGTTGCTCTTTCTAGAAACAATTCCAGCTTTCTCAGTTATGGGTTATAACTGGGTAAAACACAGCTAACAAGAACGTTCAGACCTAACCACCACGATACAGGCATTTTCCATTCTTTGCTGGTCCTTTTCTGAGCAAAAGAGAATTGATTGGGCACAGAGGGTGTAAAATGAGCCACCGGTATCTTGTGAGAGTCTCGTAGAAGCCGTGGTAGCAAACGGTATGGAAATGCTGAAGGTCAAGGCAATGGAGGGCTGACCTGTTTAAACTCTCTGTATTTCACAGCCTTGTATTTCACAGTTCTTGACGGTGGAGTAAAAATTTGCAGCCTGTTTTGTAGCCTGGCTGTGAAAGCAGAAGCTTGCTGCTTCTCTTGTGCAGTTTGGTAGCATTAGGAAGCGATTAGGCAGCAAACCAGGGAGAGTCCAAGAGGAGGAATGGCCCGAGCTGGCGTTCTCTGAGCCTTTCCCACATGCTCTCCTTCTTACGCCGCGCTTCCTCTCGGCACATAATGCTCTGTTATTTCCCCTCTGGAATGATATCCTGCCACGGCTGCTTAATTAGCCCATGACAAACTTGGGAGTGAACAAAAGCGAGCAATTAAATGCCTGTTTCTTCAGTGTGAGGCCTTTCAGGGAAGCGATTTATCACGGGCAGAGCTGAGTGGCACCTCCTCAGAAGGAAAATAAACCTATTAGCTGGGCTTAGCCTTCCGTGCTGGGGAGCCGAGCATCTGAGTTGCTCTTTGCAGGTATAAAGGGATGTCCCTGGTGCAACCAGCTTTCCTAAAAGTTGTCTCATCCAACTGCTCTGTTTTGGGGTTGGCCACAGTTTCCCTGGGCACGAGGATCACCATAGTCACCACTCAAGCAAGATAACCTGAGAAATTACTGAATTGTGAATGGGTTTAGTGCTCTTTCCATGGGTGTGTGCACAAATGTTTCTGAATCATTACAGACTGAGAAAAAGAGGAAAAAGGCCTGAAAAGAGGAGTCATAACACAGGGCTTTTGGTAGATCCTAGTCCAGATGTGGCCTGAATGAAGCACAAAGGGACTCAGGTTTCAGAGTGCAGATCTTGCCAGCTGCTTCTGTGGAGTTTCAGCCCTCATGCTCAAAACCTCTCCATACTTTCCTTGGGCAAAAGCTCTTATAGGAAGACTCTTACATGCCTAATATTATTGTGCTGTCTGAACAAACTAAAGCAAGTTGCAACCATTAGGATTTTAGGTCTCAGTTTCTTCTCAAAACAAGAGGGAGAATTCAGGTTGGAAAATTAAATACGAATTATTTGGGGGCAGAAAAATCTAGAGGATGCTGGAAAATACAGAATCAATACATGTCCTCACCCAACTGCTTTGCCAACAGTTGTCCCTGTTGCTCTCCTAGCTCTCGAGCAGCTGCTCACAGAACTTGAAGACTTTCTGAGGATCCTGGACAAGGAGAACTTGAGCAGCACGGCTGTTGTGAAGAAGAGTTTCCTGTCTGACCTTCTGCGGGTGTACACCAAGTCCAGCGGTACGTGGAGGGAAAACTGGGCACAGGGTGATGGGCTCCCGTGGGAACTGCCGAGGGCTCTTGAAGCAGCCTTTCCTTGGAGGTTGAGAGGGACGGGAGACGTGAAAACTGGAAGGAGAAAACTAAATGGAGATTATTTTTGCAGTGGCCTCTAATTGTTTATGTAGAATTACTGTGGCTATGTGTCCAGCGCTACAAGCAAAAGATTCCCAAGATTCCTGATCCTTTCTGTTTTTCTTGTTAAACCTTAAGTTTATTTAATCCACTCTGTAAGATACACAGGATGTACTGTTTGGCCAAGTTAATATTTAAGTAGAAATTTTAACTTATGGAATTTCCTGGCTATAGAGCATTTAATTTTTCAGCTTGTTGTTACTGCTTGGGGATTTTTTGCATGTAGCCTCAGCCTACATGTGTCCTTGCAGATTCTCACGGCTGACGCTTTTTGCATCTGTCTTTGTGGAAAAACTTATCAACACCAAAGTAGGGAGTAGAGAAAGAGCTTGATTTTTTTCCCTTTGGTTGCAGGTGGTGATGAGGAGTATATTTACATGAACAAAGTGACCATCCATAAGCAACAGGGTGACCAAGAGAAACAAGACCAAGGTAGGGAGTTGAAAATTAATGGTTGCTTCATATCTAATGGTGCAGTAAAGGCACGTGTGGATCAACATTTTAGTGGGATCAACACAGGCCTTTGCTACGACTCTGAAGGCTGGGGCATGGACAGACCATGGGAAGGGCTGCGACTTTTGTTGCATCTCTCTGAAAACTGTGGTCTGTGCCCGTACTGTGAGGTTATTCCTGGAAGTAGCCCTTTGGAGAGTGCTATTTTGGGATAAAAATGTTGCCTTTTTAGACTTGCAGCTCCAGTGCCTGAAATATTTAAGGAAGCCCTGGTGTTTCTTTTGGCCATGAAGCAAGTTGCCTCACCTCTTGGAGGCTTTGAAAGGGTCTGGCTGACTAGCCCAGGGGCTCTGAGCTGTCATGACCTCTCACGGCGAATTCCCAGGCTGTGCCCTCGCCATCCGTGCAGCTGCATCTCCTCAGGGGTGCTGGAATTGTGTAGTGTACAAGCCGAGAAATTAAACTGGGATAAAATACTCATTTCCAGTGTATATTCCCGGGTTCTGCATCTGTAGCGTGGTGAAAAAAAAATCATAACTCTTCAAAAATGCCCTTTCTCTTTGATATTCATTGCAAATGTTTTCTTTTTTGTTAAATGTGTGTCAGTCATAATCTGATTCATGCACAGCTAGCCAGAGGGCGACCCTAGCCCAACATTCCCGGTCTAAACAGACAAAACAGCAAAATGCATCAGTGCCGCCCGCAGTTGATGTGCTGGTCCTGCCATAGACAGAACAGTTCCATTCTCAGAGTTGTTTTTGTTTGGCTGGTTTTGGTGGTGGTGGTTTTGTTTGTTTGTTTAAAAAACAAAACCCTACGCCTGAATCTGGGTTAACTTCAAACACTCTGGAAAACAGGATCTCCTCCCAGTCTACACCTACAGCTCCAGCCTGACCTCTGGGTAACGCTGTAAAGCTCCATAAGAGGATTGCAGAGCCTGCTAGCAGCTCCTGTAGCTGCACAGTAATAGATACATTTCTTTATAGGTTGTGTGGATAAAACAGGGCTTGCACACTGCACAAGAAGTTTCAGACAACTTATTTTTAGAGTTGCTTCTCTTATTTCGGGCTTTGTGCTGTCAGGGCCAGGAACCTCCCCACTCAGGCACTCCCTGAGGGACCTGTTGCTTCTCTTTCTGTTTGCAGCAACCTCCCTAGTCCAAGTAAAACTTCTGAGTTAACTGGAAACGCTGAAGTCAGTCACACACACGCATGGGATCCCAGCTGCAGTTACAGCTGTGTGTGCAGCCCTGAGCCTCTGTAGCTGCATGGAGAGGTCTCTGTGTGCCTGGTCAGCAGTGAGATCTTCAGACTCAGCTTTAAGCAGATGGAGAGCTCCATAGTACACAGAGATGCTATGGGGTGTGATGCAGATTCCCCCCGACTTAACAGTCCTTCCTGTAACCACTGTAGCTCTGTGCCCTTTGCTTCACCTAAGTCTTCTAGTGGGATCTCATGGTGACACTCCCGTGGCTGAGATCAATTGGATGTCTCATTCCCTGCTGGGTTTCTTCACTTCTGTGTATTTGCTGAATATTTGCTGAATACTTCCTGAAATAATAACAATGCACCAGCTCCAAAAGTTCTCCCAAAACCTTAAGAAAAAGTGCCATTACTTAAAAAAAAAAAAAAAAAATCACAGCTCACTGTGGCTGCTTTTGAGTCTGAACATTCAACTCTTGAGGTGCTTCTTTGTGGCACAGTGTCTGAATTCACTGCATTGCAGTGAGTGATGAAGACACTTGCTTGGGAAATCCAGCACATCTCTGTGCTGCAAGCCCTTGGTTTTCCTCAGGGAAGCAGATGCCGCTGCCCTCTGGAAGTCACCGCGGAGGCAGGATCTGGGAGATGGGATGGGTGAGTGGTGCAAGGCTCCTGGGGGCACACACCGTGATCCTTCTAGCGCAGACGTGGGGAACGATTTGCTTTGACAAAGAGCAGAGAGCAGAGATGAACAACAAAATTAGTACAGATGTGAATTTTGGAAATCATTTTGTCTTTTCTTTTCCTCCTTCCTTCCCTTTTCTAAACACTCTCCAAATTCCAGGGCTTAGGGAGACTTTTTTTAATCAGAAAATACATGGAAAGTGTTAATGCTTATCTAGAAAAAAAAAAACCCAACTGCTTCTCTAGGAAAAAACAGGTTTTGTGATGTGTTGGGCACATCTATGCGCATGCCACAGGGCTCATAGTAGGGCTCATGAGCAGTCTGTGTCCAGTATTCATCTGCTCTAAATATCAATTTGAGCTGTACAAGATACCCAGCAGTCCCATTTGTGGGGTGCAGACAGCAATGTTCAGCTGCCTTCTGCTGATCCAGGGGTCTCTGTGGCCTCCAGATTTGTCAAAATCAGCCAGCCCTGGAAGAACAGGAGACCTGTGTCACAGGGAGCAATCTGTCACAAGAGACCATCTTCAGCCTCGTGTGCCTTCAGCCGGGAGCTCAGTGCAGGACAGAAGGGCAGAGCTGTCATTGTGGCTTACAAGTCCCAAATTTGAACAAAGCAGTGTGGTTTCCCACTTCTATTTTTACAGCCCAGAAATGTGCAGCAGAGCTCCTGCGAGCGTTGCGCAGTGCCTCGGCTGCCTCTGCGTGTGCAGGGAACGTGGCCGAAGCCAGAGCAGGTCACCAGGGAGCTGGGGAGCATCTGCCCAGTGTGGGCTGTGCACCTAATTCCCCTGCTTAACTTAACTGCGGTTGTCATACCTGAATATCTTGGCAAGTATTTTGGAAGAAATGGAACTAAGAAATATTATCTGTGAAAGAGGACTTTTCTACTGTGCAGGGTAATACTTTCAAAGTCCTAAATTCTTCATTTGATGCCTCACTCCCCCGTGTTCCCAAGTATTGTTGTATTGCACTGTCTCTAAGGTCGTGGGATTTGGAAAGTTGTCTGAGGCCACCCAGAAATTTTCTGATGGTGGAAGGGACTGAGCACAAGTTTTCTGTGCCTTAGATTAACCCGTCTGCTTTCAGCTGCTTGGAAAAGCTGATTTTGTAGCGCCAGGCTTGGAGAGCCAGGAGGGCTTCTGCAGCCACCCAGCAATGTTTCCAGCGTTTGGCCTGTGCTGCTTTAAGGACATCTCATCTTCAGCTAGTAGGTTCTCTAGCCATTAAATTACAGTTGTTGGCTGATCTTGAGAACTTGTTTTGCAGAGCAAAGAGCAGCAGAAATAAGAGGGAGGATTTAGAAGTGTCCAACATCAGTCCATATCATTGTCACTCATGGTATTTTTGAGGGACAGGAGGGGCAGTCACCCTGTCAAAGCCATTCTGGGCTTCACAGTTTTCCTTCCAGAAGTAAAAAATAGAGTCTGGTTCTTTTGTTGGACCTTCTAGTGCAACATTCCTGGATGCAGCCTGAAATGACATGGTTGCTTTGCTGCACTGTCTGTAATTATCACCCAGCTTCCCACTTAAACAGCACCTGCACAGCACTGGGCAGCCAGTGCTTCACTGGGAAATGCCACATGTCACCGTTAAAACTATTTCTGGCTTGCAGCTCTGGATCGGAGAGACTCCTTGAGCAATGGAGACGTAGGAGTGCACTCGTCCCCTCCGCAGAAGAGCCTGCCAGACCTCCCCCCTCCAAAGGTATGTTTTACTGCTCCTTCCCTTTCACTCCTTAGTCCGTAGGTTGGGAATTTAAACCTCTGAAGGCTCCAGGGTCTTTTTTTGATATGTAATATGCAGCATGGCTATTTGGGTGGAGCTCTGCTAGGTTGGTGAGATATCCCTGGTGAGTTAAAAAGAATAAATCAGTGAAGCTCCATCCAGAGTATGGTTTTCCTGGATCATGTATGTTCCTTCCCTGAGCTCTACTTTTTGGATATGTAAAAGATGTGGGTGTCTGTGCCCAATGCAGGCCAGGAGGGTGCCTGACACCCCAGGCAATGTGACTGTGCACAGCGTCAGCTGGACATCCAGAAATCCCAGTTGTTCCCAAAGCTGGTGCCCAAGCAGGCTGGAGAGCACAAGTGCATCACTGCTGGGAGCCCTGGGATTCCTGTGTGTGCGCGAGAGGACTGTGCAGGACAGTCTGTATTCCCAACACAAGGAACCCAGGCCAGCAACACGAGCAGAGAGCCTCGGCCCTGCTCTGGGGAAGATGCTGGACCCTCTGTTATTCCTCCTCAATGGCCTGTCCTTGGTCTTCCTGCTTCCTTTGAACGCTCCTTGCCTGTGTGAGAGACTCACTGTGTTGCATTCCAGCTCTCCCAAGGCCTGCTGCAAAAACCTAGGAACAAAGTAGCTTTAGATTTTTTCCATAGGGTGGTTATAAACCTAATCAGGCTACAGTTCAGCACTCAGCTGGATTTTGCTTTTGTGCCAGAAAGCCAGACAGGGAATCACAGAATCCCAGAATAGTTGAGGTTGGAAGGGACCTCTAGAGATCATCTAGTCCAACCCTGTGCTCCAGCAGGGACGGGGCACAGGATGGCATCCAGGTGGGTTTGGAGACCTCTAGAGAAGGAGACTCCACAGCCTCCCTGGGCAGCCTGTTCCAAGGGCGCTGCCACCCTCACAGGAAAGAAGCTCTTCCTCATATGGATATGGAACGTCCTGTGTTTCGGTTAGTACCCATTACCCCCTGTCTTGTCACTGGCCACCACCGAGAAGAACCTGAAGAGGCCTTGGGTCCGATTGCCTACAGGGAGCCCTTCCATCTCCCAGGGAGGCTCAGGCCCCTGTGGTGGGTTTGGGAGCGCGGAGCAGAGTGGGAGTGGGAATTGCATTCCATGGTGCATTCCTCGGAGCGCACGGCGCGTGATGGCTGTGGCCATGCCGTGGGCTGTCCCTGCGAGCAGAGGGACGTGCTGGCTACCAGAGGGCACGTGTGGCCCGGCCGGTGGGACGAGCGCAGGAACGCGCTGCCTCCTGCTGCTCCCAGCTGTGTCCCAGCTCCTGCCTGGGACCAGGACATCAGCGCTAGCTCCTGCCTCGCTCTTTCGTCCCACACCCGAGTGTGTGTCCTTGCGAGGAGTGGAAAGGAGCAGTGTCAGTGACAGACCTGCCCTGCCCCTCTGCAGTGACCAGTGACCTTGGAATGAAGATCATAGAATCATAGAATGCTTAAGGTTAGAAGGGACTTCCAGAGGTCATCTAGTCCAAGATGATGCTGGGAAGGTGGTTACTTTCTCTAATTCTTGCCTGCATCATCTTAATCCAGTCAATGTCCCAAGAGAAGCCATTCCTTGGGAGAGCAGAGCTATCTGAGCACAAGAGCGCGCTGCTCCTCCAGGGCACGTTCATGTGCACATGGGTGAGGAACATGCAGGGGAGTGACCTAGCCTGAGCTGCGTGGCAGGAGCAGGCAGAGAGCCGAGCCCACCGCCCACCGCTGCCAAGGAGCTCGGTGCTCACCAGGCACCAGGGGCTCTCCTGCACGTCTGCTTCTGCCAGCGGAGCAGGAGCCACGTGTCGAGGAGGCTGCTGCTCTGCAGGGGCAGCCCCTTCCCCAGCCCGACACCTGACTGATACTGAACTTTGAATACAAAACTCTTGGCAAAATGAGAAGATTAGAAGCGCTCTCTTCAAATGCTTTTCTGTGGAAGGAGTGACTTTGCTAGTGAGACTCCTAAACACACTGCAGAGAACAATTTCTTGGGAAGACATCAAGCTGCCCAGTGTGAAGCATCTTCTCTGCTTCACTGCAGTTCCACTGCACCGTTCCAGGACTCGGCCCCCTTGGATGTTGATGCTTGATCTTCTGATGTTCTTAGCCTCTCCGGAGAGCTCCTGTCCTGAAAACCAGTCCACAAGCACTGGGTATCATGGGATGGCTCTAACACATGCTGTCTTTCCAATATGGCAATCAAGAGGTCACATAAGGGGCCTGGAAGAAAACAGTCCTGGATGACAGCCGAGAAGTTTAGCTAAGTCACTGCTGTGCTCCCAGGCAGCCTGTGCACTACGCCTTCCCCACCACTGCCCACTGGAATGAACTTAGTTTGAATAAAATGGTACCTGTACCTGTGAACTGCGAGCTACTGAGGAGTGTCAGCGATCAGTTGGCAGCAAATATACCTAAATATTCCCATGTACTTAAATATTTCAAGGAGTGTGGCTGGGGAGAGCTTTAAAGCAGTCCCAATTACCCTGTGAAAACCACTGCTGTGGGGGAATGAATCTTCCATGTCCATCTTTGCTGATCCAGGTTCAATGTCCATCTAGGCTACGGGGAAGAGAGAGTGCAAATCCTTGCCAGGAGGTGGGAGAGGACCTGGAAAATGTTTATACTAACTCTATGGACTCTTCTGTTCTCAGCAATGTTAAGGCAGTAAAAGGTTTTTGAAGGGTTCTCTGGTGTGATATTTCAGTTGCTGGCAGCTGTGTCTGTAGCTCCAGTAGAACAGGATTAGTTTCTTCAAGTTTTGATTTAAATGAACGCCAGCCCAGCACGCTCACAGGTGAAGCACAGGGTTAGGTTGGGGTCTCTCAACCAGCCTGGGGTGAAGGACACTGAAGTGTCGTGGTGCCCTGGAAACAGTGCCTGTCTCTAAAAAACACCACAGTGACTCTATTGCTTTAAGTGTCTCTGTGTGAGAGAGATGGAGGGAGAATATCCAGCAAGCGGGAGGTGCCACCTTGCAAGGACTGGGAACAGTATCTGTGGGATTAGCATTTTGTCACTGGAGTTTTCAGTTGGAAGAGCCAATAACTTGAAAGTGCTGTTCTTCTAAAGCTTCTTGGGTTTAATGAACAGAGGGCAGTGACACTTGGTCTTCCGAAACCTAACCTAGTGAAGTCCTCAGACTGGGCCTGAGGAAGTTGCTTGTCTAATAAAGAGGAGACAGCACAGAAGTCTGCATGTGGTGGGGGTTTTCACACCATGGGACTATCAAGTGGTTGCCAGATTCCTGTGATGTTGCTTTAATTTTCCCTTCTGAGGCACAGGAAAAGTTTGGAGATGAAGCTTTACAGCAAGAGGTGTCTCCAGTATTCCCTCATGTGCATGGGTACCATAGCAGGTGGCTTCTCTGGATCTTGGTGTTTCCGGATTTCTTTGGTGTTGTCCCAGCTGCCTTTAAACAAGTCCCAGGCTCGGACCTTGGTGTCCTTTGGTTCTCCCGTAGCCCTGACAGCTCTGCTGCTTTCCGGGTCTGTCCGCTGAGAGGCCACGTGGCCCCTGGAACCATGGAGCCGGCCTACCAGGATCCATCTCCTGCGCGCACGAGCGTCTGTTTGCGAGCTCTGCTGTGCCAAAACGCAGCAGGCAAATGGTCACATGGCTTAGATAACACAGCACATGCTCTTTGACCTACGAGGGAGACAAAAGAAGCCCACGCCTTTAGGGAAAGAGGAGAGGAAAAATAACTTCTGGGGCAGCTGAGGCCCAGTCCCACCTAGTCCCTGTTGGCTTCCATTGTCTGTGGGAAACAAAACAGAGCAGGTCCTTCCCCCATCCCTTCCCTGACACTGGTTGGACGATGTCAAAAAAAAAAAAGGCAACAACCCAACAACCCACAGCATTTCTTTGTTTAGGTAACTTGTTTATGGCTGCAACACAATGTGAGCTGGCTGCACACGTGAGGCTACCACAGATGGCAATTGCAGACAGGTTCCCCGGCCAGGAAAGGGGTTTAGCAAAGCTCTGGAGCGGCTGGATTTATTGTTATTTCTTTAACACATCAGGGCAAGGTCTCAGTGCTTTTAAGAATTCGGAGACAAGTGTTTTCTGACAGTGTGTCCTCTATGGCTCTGGAAAGCAAGAGGAGAGTCTGCTTCCCTCCCTGGAAGAAGGTTTCATTGCAAGATACCGGCCCTTTGCAAAGCTCCTTGGATGTGTGGGATTTGAGGGGTGCCTGGAGCTGCCTGGAGTCTGATGGGCTCAGTTGATGTCGCCTTTGTGGGCAGTTATTGACCAGAAAGTCTTTTTCTTTCGTCAAAGCTTCCTTTGTGTTTCTGGTAGGTCCGCAGTACTTTTTGGTGGCAACATGCTGGGCAGGAGGGGCAGCTTTGAACCTGCATTTCCTGGTACTGCCATGACTTGCAAAGGGATTGACCTGCCTTCGGCTGCTCCATATCTCGGAGATGCGGATGCCCAACCAGCCCCTCTTGTGCAGGGCGCCCGGAGCGTCTGTGGGGGCAGCCAGGAAGGAGCATATATGATCCATAACCTTCAATGGGTTTATGTGGATCGTGATCAGAATCCAGCTTGAGCACCTGCAGAACACGGATAACAAACACCGTTATCTGATGACCAAGGGAATGATTTTAAGTGGGTGATGAGAGGGTGACCTCACTGAGGCCTGGTGGGGATGGTATGGTTGGGTGGTGATGGGTGAGATATGATCCCATAGTTTGTGGAAACAGCGTAATCCTGGGCTCATCCTGCTGTGATCTCCAACTCTGTTATCTAACATTCGACAGCCACATGAATTAATTGAAAAATATAAAGCTTGTTTCTTAGCTTCTGTTTTTTTTTTTTTTTTCTTTGCCTTGTGTGCTGGTATTTCCAAAGGATCAAGGCACTGTTTTCCTGCCAGTTCTTGCTTGTGTTTAGGGAGGGGTTTGGCAGGCACCACAGGGATTTTCCAGCTCTGGACTCTTTTCAAAGGCTTGTTTTCCATCAGTGTTGTTTATCTATTTCCTTCATTTTTTTGTTCAGAGCACAATTAAAGATTCCTTATATAGTTCCTAAAACAGATTTTTAGATATTGGTTTCTTACCAGCAAGGGACTCTGAGGTACAGTGACTGTTCAGACTATAACTTCAGCATAGCCAGGATTGCACCAAAAATCTTCAGTTCTGATTCTCTCCTAACATTCTCCATAGTGTAGATCATCGTCCCCAGCTTAGCAGGAATCCATAGGGCAGGAAGAGCTCCTCTTTCACAGCGAGACCCATGGGCCAGAATTGCTGCTTATTATCCCAGTTGATCCTCCCAGGATTTTCAGAAAAAAATTAAAGAAAAGCATATTTATGGTACATTATATGGTGGGTGCCAAGCTCCTTTTTGCTTAAACTACCTGCATACTGGAATCCTTTACCAGTCTAATACTCTCTTTATTCCCTTGCAACCTGTTCATGCTTAAGAAAAAAATCACATTGTTTTCAAGCATCTGTCTTTACCTAAAATCATACTTCTCTTATTTGTTTGCTCTGCAGATTCCAGAAACAAAACAACCTTTGGTCCCCAAGATTGAATCCCCAGAAGGCTATTACGAAGAGGCTGAGCCATATGACATCTCTGTAAATGGTATATCACAGCTAACTGTCCGAGGGGGGTTGAGTGGGATAGAGATTGCTGCTGGCTTGGATGAGAGAAGGTGGAGAGTCCCCATGGCCGAGGTGAAACGTGCTGGTTGGTGCACAGGAGAGGTTGGCCTGGAACTTCCCACTCTGTATTTATGTGCCAGCTTGGCTGTGCTAAAGTGGTCCAGGGTTTTACTGAGGGGTCTGTAGGGCACAGCTGTGACAAGCAGCAGGACAGGTTTTGTCTCCACAAATTCCAATTGTATTGGAAGTCTTGGCTGGCAGGATCGATAACATGGAGCCTAGCTTAAACCTGTGTTTTCTTGGTAACCTGTTGCTCTGAGATGCACATATATTTATCTGTGGTTCACTGAAATGCAGGCCAGTTAGATTCCTAAGGAGCTGAGAGATCAGAACCCTGCAAGAGTGGTAGGAAAAGCGCAAATGATGGCAGTGCTGTCAAAATAAGGCAGTTTTGGGTGCTGAGGGTACTAAACAACTAACTAAACAACAAACTATTAATGGTAGTTTGACCACCTGGTTTATATTTTACAAATATAAATGTGCAGGGTGATGCTACTTACCATGAGCAATAGCACTTTGCCTTTGCACTGAATCTACTGCTGGCTGTACTTTAAATAAGGATATTTTGGATATTCTGATAAAACCAAACCATATTCAGGAGGACCCAGGAGGAGAATCTGGGAGCTCATAGGGAGAAAAACACGAGGGAACAGTCCGTGCTAGCACTCTGTTCCCCCCTGGTTTTGGAGCCCCTTGCTGGTAGATCTCGGGTCCCACAAGGATCCTCCTCTCGTTTACTAGGAAAGGGGCAGGGTCTGAACACTACTCCCTACTCACCAGCTGCAGAGGCTTTGGGGTGGAAACAAATCCCAGCATGAAATGAGAGCCCAGTTAGATCTGGCTGCTGCTCTGCACTTGCATCTTAAGGCTTTTTAAATGAAATGCTTTGATTTCTTAGCTCAGTTCCAGCTGTTCAATGAATGCCAGGCACCACTGGACACGAGGTACAGCCCTGACCAGTACTGTGGCAGTGAGAAGAGACATGAGCCTCTAAAGGAAACAACTGGAAGCCTTGGGTTGATTGATTTTGTTGCTGAGAGTCTCCATATTTTAGGATTTGGGTTTATTTTTCTTTGGTAAAATCCTGTTTGGAGCGCTTCCTTGGAGTGAATGAGGTGATGCAGGGGTAGAGCGAAGCAGTTGGTGCCCTTGTTTGACTCAAGAAATCGGAGCCGAAACCTGTTGGCTTGTGAGTGAGACCTCTAGGTCTTGGTTCCACCCACTTGCCACTGGTGTAACCAGTACGAAACTGGAATCTCCATTCTCTCCCCTGTGCCTTATTAGACGGTGACAGCATCCTTGGATCTGTCTGATATGATGTGATCCTTTTTGCTACCAACCACCTTGAGTTCTTAGCATACCTGATGTTATTAAAGGGCAATTCCTAACATGTACCAGTTTGCCCAAGCTTTTTCTAGCCAGATATGCTAAAATATGACCCCACTAACCATCCAAGCCCTGTGTGCTCCCCCTGCATCTCCCAGCCCTGCAAGCTGAGTCAGAAAGAGTCAGGCAGTGTAGGGAGCCATAGTGTGAGCCTTGGAAGACACCCACACATCTCCAAACAAATGGGTGCAGTAAAATTAAACAAAAATAGGAACATTAGTGAAATTAGTGAATTTACTGCCAGGAAAAGACATCAAAGCAACCCCGCAGATGGGCTGAAAAGACAGAAGTTGTGCAGCATCGGAGGACGAGTGCGAAACAGTATAGCAAGCCGTGGTTGGACTAAAATGAACTGGGGCAGGCAAGGCTGTTGGGTCTCGGGGTCCCTCTTTCATCATCAGGATTCCCTCCTCTCCTCCGAGGATACCTCTGCCCTTTCTTTTCCAGTGTCAGTGGTTGCTGCTGCCTCCCTTTGCTGCTGGGCTGCAAGGTGCTCAGCGCTTTGCCTTGCCCTCCCGTGCTGCCTTTGTGCAGTTGAAGGGTGCCATGAGAAGCAGAGGGAAAACACGACGTGAGGGAAAACTGCCGCCTGAGCAATAATTATTCCAACCGAAAACATTCCTCAGCCCGGCCTAATTTGAATTATGGTGATGATTGTTTTTCTAAAAGCATCTGTCTTGTTCAAAAGAGCTGGTTGAAGCTGTCTCCTGGCCCCTCGTTGCTCTTTGAAGTCTCGCTGTACAATGTGCTCCTTCATCGACACGGGAGCGTGGGCCTGGGCGAGACTGACTCACCTGTTCTTCCATGTGTTTATCTGTGGCTTTCTCTCCTTGTCTCCCTTTCTCTTTCCTTTTGCCTGTGCAGGTCTTTTTGCTAGGCTTGCTGCGGCTGGACCGAGGCCAGCGGTGCAGGTTACTGAGGGTGTTATTTATGCCACAATAACGATGGGTATGGCATGTTTCCAAAATCTGACGTGCCCTTTTTTTGGTTTTGTCATTTTGTTGTTATTGTTGTTATTCTTTTTAATTAGAGTTTTAGCAAAGATAGTTGGATGCCTCCCGCTGGCATTGCCCACTGGAAAGGGCATGGAGAGTAACCACCTCTCCTCTCTGTCCATCCTTGCTGCGTATACAGAGGGCAGGTTTTGTTGTTTGCTCTGCCTCCCCTTGCTCAGGATAGCAACGAAGGGAACTTCCTTGGCCCCTGCTCCCCCATTTACAGCAGCTCATGTGGAGCTGAGCCTGGTAACGGCAGCTGTATTGACAGGTAGTGGCTCAGCGAGCACTGCAGATGCTCTGCAGTATATTGATCAAATTACTCAGTAACCTGTGGGAAGTTCCAACAGGAAAGCAGCATGGTGGATCCACATAAGGACATCTCAGAACATGTCTGAGACCCTCCTGGGTGTTTCTGTTTCAAAACCCTGTCTGGTTCCCAGCTAGTTTCCAAGTATCATTTTGCAGTGCTGACAACTCTAGGAACTCTAGAATTCTAGTCTTGAGAGGTGCAAGAGCCTGTTGAGGAGCAGTCTGGGGAAATGGGGAGGGAAGAGTGAGCATCAGTGCAGAGTGAGTCAAGGGATTCCTGTATCCATGAACAGGAGACTCCAGGAGAAACACTTTCTGGTTTTGCAAGATGTGTCATCTCCTGAGGCGGTTGTGGCTGATGCACAAAAAAACGCAGCCAAGGCCCATGCTATCAGTATGGAAGAAATGTATTGCTTCCCCAGAAGAAAGGAGACAGCCCGAGGCCTAACGTCTAGGTGAGGGGCACCAGAGACAACCAGAAGGAGCAAAGACTTCCAGTTGCTCTGTATTGATTAAAGAGGAAGTTTTAAAAGTCATGATGAATTTAAGATTTGCTCTTCAGTGAAGTTCCTAATGCTTTTTTTCTTTTCCTCAACTTTTTTTTTCCTCTTTTTATTTTCCATTAATCTGATAATATTAGTTTTGTGCAGATATTTAAGTTCTGATGAGAATCACTTCAAAGCCCCTTGCTGTCCATTAGATGCTGTGTAGCAAGATCTGTTAGCCCAGAATGGAAAAGAGGAATGACGTCCCAAATATAATAGATCATTGCTTGTTGCATGGCCTTGCAAATATCATTATTACTTCTGACATTCAGAGGACACGGGCTGATTGTAGCTTGCAATTGCCTTAAAAATGTTGAGTATTTGTCTTGGAGAGGAAAGTATTTTGGGGGGAAAAAGCAGCAAACAGCAGAAGATGTCTAAAGGGATGTTCTCAAACTGGTGAACAGCTGGGAGATGTCTGTTGAGTGTTTGCTAATTGAGACAATTAGGCTCAAAATGTTGCAGTGAAATTAATTTTGGACCAGAAAGGAGAAAGAAATTTATATGAATTATTTTCCTGTTGATCATGCTGCTGTAGCAAATCTTCAGAAGATACATCTCTGCATGGGGAGCATTTGCATGTGTGAGCATGGCTGAGGCAAGGATTAGGCCCAGAATTAGCCTGGAAATGTGCTTAGTGCTAAAGATTTACTTTTGTTGCAGAAGATGGTGATGCAGTTAGCAGCTCGTACGAATCTTACGATGAAGAAGAGAGCAGCAAAGGCAAGTCAGCGACCCACCAGTGGCCATCCACCGAGGCCACCATTGAGCTGATGAAGGATGCCCGCATCTGTGCATTCCTGTGGAGAAAGAAGTGGCTGGGACAGTGGGCAAAACAGCTGTGCGTTATCAAGGACACCAGGTTGCTGGTGGGTAAAAGCCTCCATTTCCTGCCTAAGACAACCTGTTTTCTTGAGCTGACGAGGGAAGTGCTGCCTCGGGTCATGTTAACCAGCTATCAAAAAAAAAAATCCTTTAGAAGTAAGACTTAAAAAAATGTCTAAGGAACTCAAGAATCCCATTTCCATTTTCTGAAGTGATGTGGGTATGGGGCTGCTGAGGGTCAAGGGACACAAGGGCACGTCCGTGGCCAAATTTCTGAGATATTTAGATGCCTGTAGATTGTGCCTGATAAACATGCTCACGTGATTAAGCAGAAGGGATGCATGTGCATGTGGTTAATCTCTTAATGCAGGTGGTTGCACTGAGCACTTCTAGTTCATGCTAGCAAGCAGGAGGAAAGCTTTCTGATCAGTCTCTTATTTGACCTCTCTCCCTCTTACCTCAGTGTTACAAGAGCTCCAAAGACCACAGCCCTCAGCTCGATGTGAATTTGCTGGGCTGCACTGTCATTCACAAGGAGAAGCAAGTGAAGAAGAAAGAGCACAAGCTGAAGATCATCCCTGCGAATGCCGACGTCATCGTGCTGGGGCTGCAGAGCAAAGACCAGGCAGAGCAGTGGCTCAGGGTCAGTGGAGCCCCTGCACTTGCTCTACCTGGCTCTACGTGGTGTGAGGGCTAGCAGGGGGTGGTGGTCCAAGTGCTCTATGGCCGTGATGTGTGAGATGTGGGGAGGCAGGGGACATGTGGCCTGGGCACAGCATGGCACTAGCACAACTCTGCTCTTTCTGGAGCACAGCCTGACTGGCTCAGAGCATAGGCAGCACAAGCCAGTGCCTCTTTTGACCCATCTGGGCCAAGTTAGCCCTTGAAGCTTTTGTACATGAAGAAGGTAGCGAAGAACATGGCATTGAAATTCTGGCTGTTGGAGAAGGCAACATCACGTTGCTCAATCTGTGAGAAGAATAGGTAACCAGAGAAAGTGGCTTTTGAAAGAATCCTCTGGAGTTATGTTTTTGGTCTCTCTCTGCTAATACAAAGGGAAAGTAAGAAAGGAGTTGGAGGGAGGAATTGTGAGGGGCCCTACATGCCCCGGTTCCTATGCAGGGTTGTGCATCTCTCAGAGATGTTCATCTGGCTAAATGCCCAGGGCTTTGCTCGGCCTCCATACCTCAGCCCTGTCCTGAGCACTGTGGCTCTCTTCCTCATTACGATCTCATCTACAAGCCCAACACTTCATTTTCATGCCCTGGGTTAGCTGTCTCCTGCAGCTCTGTGCTGTTCACAGGAGGCTGCCGAGGGGCTGCCCACCCCGACCAGCAATCCACCTCCAAGCTGCAGTGCTGTAACATGGCACAGTGGGGAGGGTTGCCAATTTTGCCTGTGTCTCCCAGACTGCTGTGGTTTTGCCTCTTTTTTTGGGGATGTGAGGAAGGCAGGGGGTCAACTATTGGTTCTGTTAACCTGACTTTATTCACAGGCTCTGGCTTTGTCTTCTGCTCAGGTCATCCAGGAGACAAGCGGTCTGCAGTCCGAAGGAGGCAGTGAAGGCAACCAGTACATCCCAGATTCCCAGCGTCTTTGTTACCCAAAGGTACATCCTGTCTCCACAGAGAGAAATGGCACTTTTGGTGGTACTATTTCTCCCTGCTGCTGTAATAAATAACATTCAGAGTTGTCAGTACAGTAATTTTATCTGGTCAGAGCCTGATGCAAATGTAAACCAAACTGATTGTGCTGAAAGGAGCTTTACTGGAACAATCTTAATTTTCCTTTGCAGCCTTAATTTGGTTGCAACATTTTTCCCCCAAAACTGACTCAGCACTTGGACTCTCACATGCACAGGGAGTGGCTGCTATCTCATCCAGCAGAACAGTTGTGCTGACCAGGAGTCTTCTGAAAGGAGAATAAACCGTTGGATGCAAGGGCTTGAGTGCTTTCTAACTCAGGTTAAAGTGTTTCTCCCCTGGGGGCAGCTTATAGCAAAACAGTCAGAGGAGAAAGAAATCTTCATAAGCCTCTGGTGACCACCTGAAATTCCTGTGCTCGCCCTCATCTCATGACATGAGGACTTGCAGATGCCCCTGGCCAGGCTGCAGGGCAGCTCGGGGCACAGAGTCAGGGTGGGCAGCGCCGGGGCGAGCGCGCCCAGGGTGCTCTGCGTGGGGGACAGTCACAGGAGCAGCGGGATGTGCCCAGCAGGAGCACACACTGGTAAAGCTGGAGGTCTTGGTGAAAGCAATGGAGAAGGTGGGAGCTACCATTTAGGAGGAAGAGGTGCTAAGAAACACAGAACTCCAGAGATGCAGCTTAGGGGAGACCCTGAGCTCATGTAAGTCATGAAAGGCTCAGGGATTTCAGTGGAAAGACACTGATTTCTGCTGGCTGGAGTCTTCTGCCTGCATGTTTGGCATCTGCACATATGGTGTATTTTGGGGTGAGCATCATTTGTGGCTCTGTGAGTCTTCCTGTGATGTGTGCATGTTTATGATCCCAATTCTGTACCACATCTAGCTTTACTAGCATCAAGTTTTAAGCCTTGGATTGCCTTATCTTGCTGCCAGAAAAGAATTTCCTTGCTGGCACTTGCTGTGTGAAGATGGGTTACACAAATCTCTGCAGAGCTCATGTGTGGTGGTTGTTAACAGGTAGAGCTATCCGAGAGGTATTCTGCAGCCTCAGAGAGTGGGAGCAGCACAGATGGACACCCAGAGACAACTGAAGCGAAAGATGGTAAAAAAAAAAAAGGGGGGGGGGGGGGGGGGGGGAGNGGGGAGATGAAAACTAGGCCACTAACCCTGCTGGGAATGAGGGTTTCTGTAGCTTCTGCACAACTGCCACCTGTCTTTCCTGTACCCGAAGCTGATCTGATGCACAGTGAAAACTACATGTGAATTTACTGTCTGTATACTTGATTTCAGAGCTTTTTCCCCGATGAAGTGGCAGGGGGATCGTGGGTGTTCTCAGCACTTACAGAACGAGCATAGGGCTCAGTAGGCCTGGGTGTGATGCCCAGCCCCACCTCATAGCTCCTGTGCAACTCTGGGCAAGGCACTTTGGGGCAGTTTTGGATAGCATAAGTGCTGTCCAAGTCACCTCTGCAGAGCAAATTGAAGTACATAGATAAATAAAAAATAGACCATCATACCAGGCCATCTGATTCTAGGATTTAAATGGGCAGGTAAGTACGTTAAAAGAGGAAGTACTCCAGTAGAAGGATGATGGGGCCCATCTACGTATCAGAGAGGGACGGATTTATGCTAAGGACTTAATATACTGCAAATTTCCTGGCCCAACAGATGGACCCAGGCTGCTGAATCCTTCTGCTTTAGGATTACGTAATTTTGTTGTGATAGAGATAAATTAAATCTGAACTACAAAAAAATCAAACTTGATTTCTCACCAGAATTTCTTGATTATGACACAGCTACAATCATGTTCACACACTGACCGATAGTCCTGCCTGGTGTGTAAATGCTGAAGAGGCTGTTTGCACATAGGCTTTTGCCCTCCCTACATGAAGTCTGTCTTTTAAAAAGGAAAAGAACTATTTGAAGACAGTAAATATTTATGGGCAATGATTTGTTCTCATGTAAGAAAATGAAGGGAGATGAGCACCCGCAGAGCAAGACCTATGCAGATAGTCTTTCCACAGCTCCAACCACGACCGGTGTTTTTTGGCACTAACCCAAATTTTAAAGTAATGTGAGCTAAGTGTCTTGCTCTGCTATATGATTCTGAGAAAATGACTTAGATATCTGAAATTAATGGTGCTAAAGAGCTATGCTTTCTTGCTCATCATCTCCTGTGCTACTACATGCCCTGAGTTGCAGGTTTGCAACTTTGCAAGATCCCACCTGCAAGGTACCTGCAGTGCTGCTTGGTACATGACCCCAGTGCGGGCAGCTCCAGGGCAGGACATCCAGCTGGGACAGCAGGCTGCATGGCTGGGAGTCAGAGGAGCTGTCCCCAAGTCTCTCTGTTTCTTTTGTTAGTCAAGAAGAAGGGAACAACTGGCCTAAAACTAAGCAACTTGATGAACCTTGGGAGGAAAAAATCCAGCTCCATGGACAGCCCAGAGAGATCTCTGGAGACTTCAAGTAAGTGACAGCATGCACCCCACGCAGTGACTTGTCTCAGGGATGGATCTTCATGTGCAGTGAGAGCTGACTAGTCATCATCTCACCTGCTACGTACGTGCTCCAAGTTGCCCTGCTGGGGGAGGGATAAAGGCTACAGTCCACCCAGTCCCGTCCAGTAAATCCATGCAGATCATGGTACCTCTTACATGTTAAAGCGACTGTATTGCTTGCAAAGGAAGAGCTTGCAGGTTTGCCAAAGGAGAAGGGTGAAGAACATGAGATGTACACAAGGACCAAACGCTGCTCTTTCTGGAGATCAGCCCAGGGTGTAGAATTCAGCAAAGAGATAGTTGTGTGGGCAGACTGGAGTTCATCTTCTGGGACAACCTTTGCCCAATTATCTGCAGCCAGCTTGCTGCTCCAGATCTGACTGGAATTTCAAGCAACCTATTTTGAACATACTTTCCCTCATTTTTATATGGCCTAGGGCATATTTTTGCTGTTTACTGCTGCTTGACTTTGTGTTCCCAAGTGATCCCAGAACTAGCTTACTAGTCAAACATCCTCATATGTGAAATGAGTTTGGATTTCTCTGGTAATGGGGCTGAAAGCCTGATTATGTGGTCTGTGCTTGCTTGCAGGTTACCTGAATGTGCTAGTGAACAGTCAGTGGAAGTCCCGCTGGTGTCACGTAAAAGATGGTCACCTCCATTTCTACCAGGATAAGAACCGAAGTAAATTGGCTCAACAGCCCCTGAGTTTGGCAGGTTGTGAAATTATCCCAGAGCCAATCCCTGATCATCTGTATTCCTTCCATATCCTGCACAACGGGGAAGAACGGGTCACTCTGGAGGTAGGGTATTTTTCTCTTAGCCAGCTTTGCTTCTAGGATGGGTAACCAGTATGGTTCTCCAGAGAAGCCCTCAATCCAGCAAAGCAGAACCTGAAGCAAAGGACTTTGGTTCATCTGGCTTTGGTCACTCAGATCATCTCCAGCCTATGCTGCTGGTCCAGGCTGCTTCTGATGCTGGCATCTCCAGAGGACCATTCAGTCTTCATCTTAGGCACTCATCTTAGGATGGGATGAAGGGTCCTCTGGAGGTGCCCATCTCTCTCCACTGGCTATAGGATAACCTTGGAAGATTAAGTTATATGGGACACATACTAGATGGCTTATGTGAAGTGAGAAGTATCCCACTGAAGGGATTTAAGACTGGGACTAAGAGGAACAGACAGCCTTTCTTTTATCTTGTGAAAATGGAGATGCAAAGTTCATGGAGATGCAAAGTTCATGGATGTGTCCCACTTAAGGCAATCAGAGATTTTCCCTTGGAAGTGCAAGTGAATTCACCTCCATCTCTTACTTTCCTTTGCCTGCATTCAGGACTGTTTAATCTTAGTTCTCGCTAACGACAGCGTGATTGTAGTAGGAGGTGGACAATGTGAGCAATTTCCTGTGTTTTTCCAGTGGGTGGAATATTTACAGCTAAACAACTGACTTCAAGTGCCATCCATGGAAGGTGTTTTTGTTTAGCTTGTGAATCAAATTATGTCCCAGGTCCAAGAAATTTCACCTAATGACAGACGTGAAAGGAGATGCTGGGAAAATTTACATTTTGTGAATGGGAGAAACTACATCTTGTTAGGATATCAGGCTGAATGTACAGGCGGAGCGGCTGGCTGACTTCCCAGCACTAAAGTTTGTGCTAAATAAAACAAATTGGAAGCTTAAAATATACTTTCCAGTTTAGTATTCACTTGCCCTGAACTGTATTTTCTGTTTCCTGGTAAAACTCCTAAAATCAAAGCAAAACACATGGGCATCAGCCCAGTTCTTTCTTGCTTCAGGTAGAAGTAATTTGCTACCAGGAAGTACATGTGGCTGTTTGCTAGAGCTAGCTTCAAGGCAAAATCTCAACTCATAATTTTGCATACCCCAAAATGTCAGACTCTTGCCCTGCACCTGGGAATTTGGTTTTGACCATGTTAAAGGTGAGGGATCTCGTCAAAATTCTTCTCTGATCACACTTCAGAATTCTTCCCTTGCCTTCTCATTGTGCAAACACCTGCAGAACAGTTTTGGCTCTGACATGAGGGACTTAACAAGCAATCTGAGATGTCCTTGTATGTCTGTGTTTGGAAGTCACACTACTGCACTCTACTGGTACAGAATAAAAATGTGCTCTTTCCTCTCCAAAAATGACTCACTTAACACATCTGCAGCCAGGGAGAGAAATTTTTTTCAGTTGTGTAGGCAGCTGAGTCACCATTGAAAGAAAAGTGAAGAAATGCATTTAGAGATCTTCCACGTTTGCAAATCAATCCCACACATGGAGCAGAACTCTTTCTTTCCTTTTTAACTTTAAAACAAAACAAAAGAAAACCCTTGCTGTTAGACTTAATTTAAAAATGCTGCAGTTCTCCTTTCTTCTTGCAGGTCACGAGGACTGTCAGCTTACTTCCCTACCTTGGGCTTAGTAAGCACTAACCTTGCTAGTCCAGGAAACTGCCATTGCAACATGTAATGATCTATCTGGTCACCTTGTAGGCCAAGTCCTCGGAGGAAATGGGCCATTGGCTGGGCCTTCTCTTACTGGAGTCAGGTTCAAAAACAGACCCGGAGGAATTTACCTATGATTATGTGGATGCTGACCGAGTTTCCTGCATTGTAAGCGCTGCAAAGAACTCCTTCTTGTAAGTCATAGTAGTAACGTTTGGTCTCTGAGTGGGTGGCAGAAGCTGGTGGAAGGGGAAACAAGCCAGATGCAAAAGGAGGGACACCAGAAGCTGGCTGCAGAGGAGATGATGTACCTTGTGTCAATGCTGAAGCCTCAGTGAGCACTTGTTGTCTGAGGGTAGCTGTAGCTGCCGTGGGGCTTGGGGTATGTGTCCAAACTGCTCTTGTGAGGGACACCTTGATGGGTCCAGGCAGCTAGCTGGGGGTGCAGAGCTGCTGGGCCACTGCAGCAAGCTAAACACCTCGGTGCAGTGCTGCAGGAAGGCTGGGCAGGAATGGAGAGAGCCACAGGGAAAGGCTGCTTCTTTCCCACCAATGCTGCGTGATGCAAAACAAGAGCAGTGGTCACATTGCTGCGTGGCTCTTCCTTTCCTCTCCTGCATTTGGCCACGTAGCCCTGTGCAGACCTCAGGACTCCTGTGCACAGGCTGATGTGCCGGTGGAGAGCCCTGTATTTAGCCTGCCACAGCCATGCAGCAAGAGAGGTCCCTATTGATAGGATGTCCTGCTGACTCTTCACAGCTTAATGCAGAGGAAGTACTCGGAGCCCAACACCTATATTGACAACCTGCCAAAAGGGAGGACTCAGCAGGAGGAACTCTATGACGATGTGGACCTGCCCGACGTGCATGGGGTAAGGTCTCACAGCTGCAGCACCCAGCAAGCTTGCAGGGAGGCTTGTGGCCTGGGGAGAGTCTTGCTCCAGCAGTGAATGGGAAGGTTTTTCCATAGCCACAAACAGCTTGTGAAAAACGGGAATTCCCAGCCTGTGGGGAAAATCCAGGCTTTTGCAATGGGGCAAAGGTAGGTGCTGATGAGGAACTGCTGGGGAGGATGTGGAAGTTCTCCAGGGGAAGCTGTGGAGGAATCCTTAGTAAGTGAGCTGAGATAAAATTTCACAAAGTCTGCAAACAGTGAAAGTTGGTAGTAAGATAAAGAGGGATGAAGACAGAGCTGTCAGTGAGTGACACAGATTGTTGGTGATTGTGGGTTGTTTGGAGGCCATTCCAACAAAATTCCTTCCGGTGCATGGTCCCATGTATAAGGACAAGAAAGGCAGGCCATGGGCAGAGAAGATTCCCATGGGGAAATGCAAAGGGTCTGGCAAGGGACTTCTGTAAGTACGATAACATGAGACCCTAGGGAGATGCTGGTGCAACCTTTGGAAAGATCTACTGAAGACAGCAGCAGACTTCCCTTTAGTAAACTGAAAATTCCTGTAAGAAATGACTTGGAGAATGGGGTTCTTGTTCCTTGATCACTTAAGAGTTTATGGAAAATATCCTGGATTATCTGAGACAATAGTGCTCTCAAATGAGACTTAGCTCGTACCTCTGGATGCAGCAGGCCCCCTCAACCTTCTCCTTTTTGCAGGAAGTACCCAAGAGTGAAAACAAATCTGAAGGGGACCATGACAGAGTGTACCTGGATCTCACGCCAGTGAAATCTTTCCTGCACTGTGCTGGCAAGCAGTCATGCCAGCTTTCACCTCGCAGCTCTCCCTCCTTAGAACGGGCTGCCAACAGGGGCTTAACAGATACTGTACCCGAAACAGCCCTTGTGGCTAAGGAAGATGAACCCTCCAGAAAGACAGTGGAAATCTCGGAGCAGGTACTGTCCAGAGTTGTGGTCCAGGACCACCAGCAGGCTAATTTCCCCTGCCACATTGTGCCATCTCATTGCTCTTCTCTTCTGTTTCCAGAAAAGCCCAGAGAAAGCAGAGCCCGAAGAGCTGCCGCCGAGGACGTCGACCATCAAAATCCAGACGGAGCAGCAGAAGATCGCGTTCCCGCAGGCAGGCCCCGAGATCACGGCCTACACCACGGTGCTGGGCAGCCCTCAGCTGCTGCCTGCACACAGGGACAGGCTGGAGCGGCCCAAGCTGCCACCGCCCAGTGAGTTACTGGGGATCCCATAGGGATCAGGCCATAGGGATCATCCCATCAGGCCAAGGGAGCACAACCTCCCTCGCTGCAGGCTTGGACATGCCAAATGGGAGCTCTGTGTGCCTGGTGGGGGGTCCTCTGCAATGCAAGGAGCTGGAAAGTAGCTGCTACCGGGCACTTCGGTCACCCATTTTAGCTCAGATTAGTGCTTTGCCCTCCAAAGAAAGTAAAAGTGGTGGCTTCAGGTGTAGCTGGGATGTTCCAAGGCATGGTGAGGAGCTGGAGCAGATCTGAGCTTTGCCCTTTGAATCTGGTCTGTGTTTGCACCACACTAGCTTCTGAAAACATTTTTCTTCTCAGATTGAGCTTGTTTTTGTGGACTGTGTTTGCAGCAGCAGCGGTGGAAACCAAGCTGGGCAAGAACAGGACGGAGGCTGAAGTGAAGCGATTCACCGAGGAGAAGGAGCGGCTGGAGAAAGAGAAGGACGAAATCCGAGCCCAGCTCACCCAGCTGCGGAAGGAGAGGCGGGAGCTGAAGGAAGTGCTAGCTGGTGGCACAGGTAGAGCTGGGCAAAAAGCAAAGTGTTGAAATGAGCCAAGGCGGGACTAACGGGAATGCTGGTGGCAGCTTTTTCAGAAGAGACTGCAGAAAATTGATCAGCCTGGGAATAGAAAGGTGCTTGGCAACTCTCACACTATGTACAGGACCACGGGCACATCAACACTGGCCAAGTTGCTAGAGAAATCAGTGCTGAAGTAGCGTTGAATATCTCCTCCTAGCTTGGCCTGTTTTATGCTTTTTCTAATCCTGAAGAATTCCTGAGATTCTAACCTTATTTTTGGATGTTTTATTAGAAATAACTTACCAAGCTTCATTCCAGTAGACGTGGGATCCCTAGTTTAGCCTGTCATTAAAAGTTGCCTTTTTAATTCTTTTTCATCTTCCACTATTTGATTTTCTTTTTAAGATAATGTGGTATCTGAGGAAAATACTGGAAGGAGCAATGTGACATTTTCATTTTCCTACGAAGTAGAGGCACTTGAAATGTGAAGAACCTAGTATATAATACTAAAACATGGAAATTTGCACCTAATTATGCCATAAAATTCAGCAAAATTTTAAGTTATTGTCATGGTCTAGGAACTTAAATAATTGTTTCAGATTCTTTAACTAAGTTTCTGAGACAATCACAAATATATCTTTCAAGATTCTAAACTATAGCTAAGGCAACTAGTATTTTAAATAATTTTAGGTAGTCAAAAGTGTTTGAGACAACTACTATACAAATGTATTTTTTTTTTTTCTTTTTGAAAAACTAAGACTAAGTGAGCTGGGCCTGTTTAGCCTGGAGAAGCGAAGATTGAAAAGGAATCTTATCAATATGTACAAATACCTGAAGGGTGAATGTAAAGAGGATGGAGACAAACTCTTCTCGGTGGGCAGTGACAGGTCAAGGAGTAATGGGTACAAATTGAAACATAGGAAGTTTAATCTCTCTATTAGGAAGCTTCTTTCCTGTGAGAGTGACAGAGCCCTGGAACAGGCTGCCCAGGGAGGTTGTGGAGTCTCCTTCTTTGGAGGTCTTCAAAACCTGCCTGGATGCCACCCTGTGCCCCGTGCTCTGGGTGTCCCTGCTGGAGCAGGGGATTGGACTAGATGATCTCTAGGGTCCCTTCCAACCTCAACCATTGTGGGATTCTGTGACCCAGAGCCACCCTTTGGTCTCTTGTTGTAGCGTCTAGTGAGGTAGAAATATCCCAATATTATGTGTTCTAGGTTAGGTATGCTCAAGGTTTAGGTGTTTATATCACACACACCTCATCTTTGGCCTGGTCCCACTTTGGAAAAGCTGTAAGACAATCCTAGATAGCAGTAGTATATACGGTTTTTCTTGCTCCCTCCTTCCCCTCCTAAGCTCCCCCAAGTCTCTCTTCCCTCACTGCACTGGGAACGTGCCCAGCAGTGGCTCAGCAGGAGCGAGGTACTGAGTTATTCCTGCCTTTCCAGATAAGAGCCTCGAGCAGAGGCTGAAGGAGATAGAAGAAGAGTGCAAAAAGAAGGAGAGCAGGAGGGTGGACCTCGAGCTGAGCCTGGTGGAGGTGAAGGAAAACCTGAAGAAAGCCGAGTCTGGCCCTGTGACGCTGGGCACCGCTGTGGACACCACGCACCTGGACAACGCAGCCCCCAAGGTCGGTGGAGGGAGGACATCCCACCTGGCCAGCCTGGCCCAGGCTTTCACAGAGTGCAGGGCCAGGGGCCTGCTCCTCACCTGCAGAGCCCACGGTTTTGTTTGAACACTGCGTGGGGTAAACAGTCACAATAGGGTGGCTGAAAGGTGGCTGGACTCGGGAGACCCAGCTGTATTGCTCTGTGGGACCTGGAGCAATATGCTCGAGGGTCATGCAGTTCTAGACCCTGCTCCATTAGAGGTACTTGTCTCAAGGGGATTTAGGGGATAATTCCTTTCTGAAGATTTGGTTCCTTTAAAACAGAAATACAATCCTTTCTCTTTACAGAACAGGCAGGAATTATGGCTACATCAAAGACTGAAAGGCCTTCTGAGACATTAAAATAACGTGGGAAAGATAAACTGCGCCTCACCTCTTTGTGAAAGCCTTCTCTATACTTCAGCTTAAGTTCCACAACATGCAAATAAATACACTATAAATGCTACATCGTGGTGTTGTTTCACATTTGCATTTCACTGACTAATGCCTCTCAGTAAAAAAAAGGGGACTGCAGCTCTAACGGTTGAGCTATTTTCTAGAAGGTTGATGAAAGGCAGCAATCATTGTAGTCTGAAGTCATCATAATTTTTATTATTTTTATTGTAGATTCAAGTGAAAACCACCAGTCCAGCAAACAGTGTGGAGAATTCACCAGTCAATTCAGCAACAGCTTTAAAAAACAGGCCATTATCTGTCATGGTGACAGGAAAGGGGACAGTTCTACAGAAAGCTAAGGTAATGTACCATTTTAAACTGAATAAAAATGAGTCTTGGCAAGCTGCTGCTTTCCTGTCACGTAAGGCCATGACGTTGCAGGTTGAGGAAGTCTCATGTCTTCTCTCAGGCTGGGAAGGAGCCAAGACTGAGTAATATCCTTACATCCTGTGCTGTAGCTCATAGCAGGTCAGGCTTGTCGTTCTTCAGTAGGTCTCTTCGATGGGTTGACCTAGCTGCCATTCAAATTAAGAACTGTAAATGTTCTCCTATAAGTGGACCTGAGCCAGGCTCTCTTGTCCATTTAAAGCAGATGGAGTAGATTATAGGTTGAATTTCACTGAAACGGTGGTGAAACCCTGTTCAGATTAACAGCAAGAAAGCTGCAGGAGGGATGGGTTTTATTCACCTGGGAAAACATCTCTGCCTTTCTCAGCCTTTTTTCTATTCCTACCAATGTAAGCCCGAGCTTTGCAGCAACCCTGGTCTCCCAAGGAAGCAGCAGAGCTGTGACAGGGATTTTATTCACTATAGCTTTTACTTCTGAAAATCAGGTATCTCAGCACACCCTGCTTTCAGAAGTTGGCTGTGGATCACCAGTCTCCTCCTGAGTACTCCAGAGTATGTGAATAGTTTGTGTCTCTTGGTGTGCAAGAGAGGTGCAGGAAGACAGACCCAGGGAAGCTCACTGAGCTTTTCTCAACCTCTCCTTCAAGCACCCCATACAAACCTTCAGCCCACCTCATAGTTTCTGCCTGCTTGCCTGGTCTTTTAGCAGTGTCATTGCTGTCTAGTATAAAATCTTCGGTGGAAGTATTACCTATGACTGGGGAGATCCATGAGCCACCTCTCTCTGGACACTGTGTTGGGGAGTCCCGAAACACTCCAGGTGGCAGATGAACATTAAAGCTATTAATACAATAATACACATTAAAGCTATTGCTACCTGACAGCTTTGCCTTTTGACTAATTGATCTTTGGTCTTTGACAGGAATGGGAGAAAAAAGGAGCTAGTTAGAACTACATTTTTCAATGGTAGACTAAAGACTGGAATTGCCCATGCATGGACAAGAAAATTCAATCATCTGGAGACAGAGGTGGGATGTGAAACACAATCGCACGCCTAGCACCTCCTCCACATCGTGTCAACTGTTCAGATGCAACAGTGGAGCTAACAGCTGCCTATACAAATGACCAATCAAGTGATCTTGCTCTTCCCACACAAGTCCCATCAAAAGAGTAACAACCAGTGGCAATCCTTGCATCAAATTTCTAACCCAGTTGATGTAAACAAGAATGTTACTGTACATAGGGATGTTTTGTGTATTTCTACTCTGAAGATTTATCAATGAGTTATTAAGGTTTCTATATTAGTGACAGTAGTGGATTCAGAATGGGCCTTTGCTCTTCTTTATACCCCAATGGTTTTCAATCTGTAAATTGAAATAGTAAATTACAGTCAAATAAAGCCTCCCCAGTCTTGCTGCCTGTCATCATACAGCTGCAGATGATCCAGCCTTCAATCAAGGGCAGGAAGGAGAAACCCAGACTGGAGGGATGGTAGAAACACAAGTGAGAAGCACACAGCAACATGTCCAGTGGGGAGACTCCTCTCAGTTGATAGTGGGGAACTAGACCTATAGATGAAGCAGAGTTTTTTAATCAGTGACCAGATGCTCCATATCATGTACTTATTTCTACAAGGCTACCAACCTGGTGCAGGCTTTCATTTTTCCAGAATATCAAGGAAAATCCTTGCTCATTTTCTAGCTCTGTAAGATGTGTTACAGTCTGTTGGCAGTAAGAGCTCTGGACAAAGGAAGACCTCCTAAACATATGCAGTTAATTTTCTGAAAATACTGAGCTACTTATTCTGAAAATCCTATGAAGGCTGGTACATAAATAGTCGATGGTTGAACCTTTCAGATGGGGAAGCTGCGCAGGATGAGTGCAGGCCCAGAGGAGAGCCCGTGGCCCTATCCAGCCTGCTGAATGTGTCCGATGGGAAAGGGGAGCCCTGGGAGCAGCAGCGTGGGGCAGGGCCGGGCTCAGAGGGGTGCAGGACCTGCTCTAGGAGTGCACAGGAATAGGAGTGAATAGGAGTGAGTCTGAAATCCCTGCACTTTCCCTGGGACTTGTTGTCACCTCTGATAGTCCTCCACCTCTTTCCGTCTTGCAGGCCTGGAATCCAGGCTCAGTAACTGAGCTGACCACTGCAGCTGGTTTCTGCCCTTGCAGAGGTTGGGGCAGCAAAGGAAACCTGCCAGGGATGCACAGGTTGCCCCGGGGGCTCTGTGGGTGCCCTCATGAGCAGTACCCAAAGCCATGATAAGGACAGACAGGGAAAATGCTATTGCTTCCTCACCTCTAACGCATGGCGGCCAGTGCTCCGTGCTGCTCAGCAGAGGGAAAGGTGCTGCTAGGCCCGTTTCATCTGCATGCTTTTACAGTGCTTGAACATCTCTGTAAGGCCTGAGGCACAAGCCAGGCCCAAAGGGATGGTCCTTCTTCTGAAGGACCTGAGTTAGGTACTGAAGCCCAGTTCGTGGGGCAGTGCAGGCCGATGCCTCCAGGAACCACTGGGAGGAGCCAGGAATTTGTGTGGGGAGGCTCTGGGCTCCATGAGGCTCCTGTAGAGCCTGCAAGTGGCCCCAGGCCTGTTCAGAGTAGCCTGGAGGTGAGAAACGTGACCGACCTCCTGCTTGGAAGTATCTGCCGGATCACGGAGTAACGGGCAACCACATGGCAGGAGTTCCTAGGCCCCAGCTGTCAAGGTTGTCCCTACATAAGGTTTGCACACAGGAAAGGCTCTTGCACAAAATCACTGAAACTTCCAGCTCAGGACCCAGGGAGATTTATTCACTGCCCCATGAGGAAGCCACAGACACGGTGAAGTTGTTTTTGTTTCAACACAGCACGGGCTGGCAGGAGAGTCTCTCTCTCTCTCCTAGTGCAACACCCTCCCCATACCATGCATGGCAGCCGTCCTCTGCAGCCGTTGTCCAGACATTTCACAGGAGAATCAAGAGTAATGGATGAGATCTGCTCTGCTTTCCACGCCACAGCCTCTTCACCATCCATGGTCCTGCTGGGATGCCACCACTGGGAAAAATATTGAATACACCCAAGACAAGAAATGTTCAGCAATGTCCTTGTGTCCCCCTTGTTTTTCTAACTCAAGGCATTACCTTTGTTGTAACTGTGACCTATAAAGTGGCTCTTTAGAGGTTTTTTATAATAAAATGTTGGGTATATTATGTTACTAGTGTATTTTAATTTGTAACGAGGCTTATCACAGAATGGTTGAGGTTGGAAGGGACCTCTAGAGATCACCTAGTCCAACCCCTGTGCTCTAGCAGGGGCACCCAGAGCACGGGGTACAGGGCGGCATCCAGGCCGGTTTTGAAGACCTCCAGAGAAGGAGACTGCACAGCCTCCCTGGGCAGCCTGTTCCAGGGCTCTGCCACACTCACAGGAAAGAAGTTCCTCCTCACCTGGAGATGGAACTGCCTAAGCTAAACAGGCCCAACTCACTCAGTCTCTCCTCATACAAGAGATGTTCCATTCCCGTAATCATCTTTGTTGTCCTCCGCTGGACCCTTTCTAGGAGCTCCACGTCCCTCTTACACTGGGGAGCCCAGAACTGCCCCCAGTCCTCCAGGCGCGGCTCCCCAGAGCTGCGTAGAGGGGCAGGATCCCCTCCCTTGACCTGCTGGCAATCCTTGCTTTGCTTTCCAGAAGGGTTCGAGCACATCAAAATCCAATAATGCTGCTTCAGTGTTCATTAGCTGTATGTTCAACAACTGCAATGGGCCCTATTTTAAATGCTTTAGTTTGTTATAAAATTGGTGCAGCATCAAGCAAAAGCTTTTGGGCCAGATAACCTACTGAAAATAGCATTAACCCTAGTAGTTTGCATGACCACCTGTATAACATACTCTGGCCTACATCTTAGCAGACAGACCTCTTAGACAAAACAAGATATGAAAAAAAATGCATCTACTACTCACTCTGTCCACTAGATAGCAACTTTGTCCTGTGTTTAATGCTTGGTGCAGTCGCTGAAAGGAAAGTCAGGAAGAAGTTTGGCTGCAAAAGCATCAATAAAGAGAATTGCTAGGGGCACTGTACAAAACAGGCACCAAAACATATCTACATAATGCATTTGTAGTAGATCTTTTTTTTTGGCTAAGCAATTACGAGCTCTAAAGTGCCAGATGTTAAAAAAAAAAAAAAAAAAAAAAAAAAAAAAAAAAAAAAAAACCTGTCTCTCTAGTTGTTTTAAGGTGAATATGCAAAGGTGATCTAAAATCTACCTATCTATATGCATACACATACACTGATATCTCTGCCTATGTATTTACACACACACATTTTTTGCAACTCAAAAAATACTGTTGTACCTGTACTGTAGAGCACAAGCACTTTGCAAGGTGAAGAAGCCAGTCAGCTTCAAGGAGCACACCAGTAGACTCAGCACCAGTGCCAGCCCTTGGCTGCCCAGCGTGTGCTGCAGCGGCCTCCCCCGCCACACACCCTGCAGCTTTGGCACCCCTGGCATTGCACAGGGTTGCTAGTCACGAAAGGGCACGAGTTCCCCCAGGCCTGCAGTGCAGGCAAGGAACCAGGCCATTAGTGCCCACGTGCTCACAGCCTCAGCCCTGCCCAGGTGCCAGCAGCAGCCCAGCCTTTGGGCACCAAGCACCAGCACCACATGGGCTCGTTGGGTATTTTTTGGTTGAATACAGATGATGAGCATGAAGGCTCACCTCAATGCCTGAGCTACTTATTCTTCCTTAATTAAAATCTGCAGGATCTAGGAGTATCTACTTATTTTTCATTATTATTATTTTTCTTATGCCCCACCAACTGCTCAAGTCATGTTCTTGCCAGCAGGACTGGCAGGTCTTCTTCAGACCAGTGCTCTCCAAATGCGCTCTCCCCCCCCCCCCCAATCTTTATTTCAAGTTGGCTTTTCCTGCGTCCTCAGGTGCCCCGAGACCAGCTTACCTTACCAGGAGCTTGACCTTATAGAAAAGGAGAGCTGCTGGGGTGATGCTCTTGATTTTTGTTTCTCCTTTGGCAGAAGGAAAGGGAGGGCTGAGGCTGCAGAATTAAGTGTTGAAACGTGAGGAATGAAAGACACCTGAGAACACAGTGGGTTTTCCAAGGGCATTATTGGCTATCATTGCTGGCATGATTCCCAGGTTACTTCCAAGGGCAGGAAGTCTGCCCCCAGCTGTACTCATGATGTGTAGAGCACAGTGCCGTGCAGCCAGGCCATCAAATGGCCAAGGCTTTGTGCTGCTCAACAGAAGTGCTATAATAATTAAATAAAAAGGCAGAATAACTTAGTTCTTACTAGCTGTGTATTCAAATAAGGGGAACGTCATACACACAAAGATTACAACTCAGCTATGCTTAGCACAAGCTGCAGTGCTCAGCAGCACTGTACAAGCCATCCTGCAGGTAACATGCATAGAGAGGAAAAGGCTTTAAATATCCGTATGAAGTGTGTCCCAGCTCGGCGGCTGGGTGCCGAGCAAGGTGAATATGCTTCAGTTTGAGAGGGAAGATGGAACCAGCAGAGGACAAATTGCCACGAAGGGTGAATGAATGAGGCCAGATAGATGAACTATGTAAGAGAAATTGCTGGGGGACATATCCAGCACATCCAGCTACATGGCTGCACAGCAAGGATAAGGAGCCACCATCCCTCTCAGGAACGGTTTTCAGGGCAGTTTGGCTGGGGTCTAGCCAGCTCATGAGCAGATCCACATCCTACACTACAACGCAGGTCTTTGCTTTGAACTGAGCCTCTGTGTTGCTGTGTCCCAGGCACCTAAGGACACAGACAATCCACAGAAGTGATAGTGGAAATTCTCGCTCCCCCTGGCTTGCCTTCTCCCCCAAGGTATAAGATAGGGTTACTCTCGTCTCGGTGCCAGTTTTCATCCCCACTAGTGCTTTAGACTGTTGGTCCTTCAACAATGAACCTGAGGAACAACTTGTGTCTCTCTCCGTACACCTGATGGGAAGGTCTCTGCCTCTGCCCTGTCCAGTGCTGCTTTGCTCTCCGGAGGCGAGGGAGGCCGTGGGAAAAGTAGCAGGAAAAACCACCCAGCAGTGTGAACCAGGTAGCCCTCGGAGAGCAATTACGTAGGCTGAGTGGCTTCAAATTGATCTAGCAATCCCGTGAGCCTGATGCTCTGAAAGATGCAGGCGTGAGACCTAACTTTGTCTTTGGAGACACTTGTGGAGCATCGCAGCCCATGAGAGGCCCAGCTCTCAATGCAGAGCCCACTCTGTCCTGGGGGGGATCTGCTTTGAATAGAGGGGAGGCACGAGTGCCCTGTGTCCACTGTGTTCAGGTTCAGATCAGGTCAAACAACTATTCTCCACAGGCCACCTCCAAAGGAGAGTAAGGTGACATGGCAAAGCTCAGTGCCACAGAAGAGCCCTGAAGAAGAGGATGCTCAGAAGGATCAGAAAGGACCACTGAGAATTGTATCTTTTATTAAAAAGATTCCAGACCCAGTTCCCAAGCACCTGTGCCTCATACAATGGGACTGGGGGTAATAGGGGAGGAGCCAAGGGGACCATCTACCTCACTCCTCTTTATCTACCAAGGATGTATTAAAATGTAGCATTAAAAAAAACATAGGCCAGATAGAGAGTGAAATTACTTTTTCCATTCCATCTCAAAGCTGGTCTTTTTTGCTGGTCAGCATCTATTTTTTTTTTTATTCTAATCCATTCTGTGATTTCAGTTGTTTCAATGCTCTCTTAGAAACAGCTCTGCAGCTCTGCTGGCCAGTGTGTAATCTACATTAACCCCTTTCAGCAGGAGTGACAGAATTAATTACTGAGATTTTTAGTGCATTTTTAGACTAACTCAAAGACCTGTGAATAAGTCTTTTAAAAATATATATAATCAGTGCTAGAGTCTGGATGAGGAAATACAAAATACCAATAATAAATGCTTAAATGCAAATATTTACTTGATACAAAAAAGAGAGGGAGCACCCAAAGCTCAGTTTGTGCGACACAGGAGCTCAGAAGAGCATCAGTGCAGCCTCTTGGCAAGGTAAACTGGTCACCGCAGGTGACTTGTCACATTGCACCTGCAAGGGGCCGTAGGCAAGAATTCCCAGGAGGAGAACTGAAACATTCCATGCATGTGTATCAGTGCTTCCAATCCGCAGACTTTTTGGTGTGTTGAAGACCTCAGGAGAAGTGCTGCAACCCACGTGGACTCTGCTGCTTGTGGGAAACTGAAGGAAGAACCGGACTTCTCCAAGATTAATCGCTGGCAATTCCTGCAAAACAGAAATGCAGCTGAACAAGGGCTCCGGGATCAAAGAATTAACTGCTGCTCAGTTCCTTACAACCCAAGGACACCCTTGGTTTTAGCTGACAGATGTTAGCGATGACAGGGTGGAAGTCAGAGCTCCTTGGCTCAGGTAAGTGCAACATCACTCTCTAAACTGAGAGGTTCCTGCTGTGGGCACAGCTCTGAGGAGGCTGCAGGGTTGCTACCTCCGGGCCAGTGCTGTGCTGCTGAAGAGGTAGAAAGCAACGGGAGGCTTTTGCACTATGGGAAATACTGGAATACTTGAGACAGAGCACCAAGGCCTGGGCCACCACAGGTACTGGGGAATTGCTGCCCCATGTCCGTGCAAGAGAGGCCCGGGTTTGGGAGCAGCTGAGAGGAGCTGGGTAGAGGCAGTGAGACCTGCCCTGGTAGCATCTGTGGGGACTTACTCCTGTCACGGGGGTCAGCAGAGGGGTCTATGGAGCCTTGCTGCTCGCGCAGTGGGGTCCTTGCCAGCTGTGGCATTCGCAGCGGTGGCTTCCAGGCCCGAGGACACATAGGCCCTGGTTCAAGCAGGGGTTGGGCTTGCACAGGTTCGCGGGGCTTTTCGCTTCTGCAATAAACACAAGCAGAACAGCAGGCTCAGGCACAGAGCCCTCATAGCCGGGACCTGCATCCACCAGGAGTCCTGCAAATATGGCACTTTTTCCCAGCTTCTGGGCTGGGAAAAACATATTAATATGGAGGGAGGAGCCAATCCAACAACCTTGTCTTTGTAGGCAAAACTCGTCTATTTTTAACCTAGAGAAGAGGAAGAGAATACATTTGCTGGGTGTTCTCAGCTGGAGACTAATAAAAAGCTTAAGAGAGTAACATCCCATTAGGCTCAATGTCAAAAAAGAGCCAAACAGAGCAAGTTCAGAGCTGTGCATTGAGCACAGTGATCTCTAAACCCCTCAGACCCAGACATCACCAAAGTGGAGTAAGACTCATCCCTTGCTCCAAGCAGTTTACAACCCCAAACACCACTGCTCCAGTTGGAGCCCACCCAGTCTCTCCTCTGGAGAGCACTTGAGGTCCGTGGCATCAGTGGCAAACAAGGCAGGAGACGTTTTTGGTCCTCTTTCTAGAGATTTTCAGAGAAAAACTTGTAACCATACCCAAACTTGTTGTTATTAGCCGTGTTCTTGTGAAATATGTCCAGGCTTTTCCTACCCACAACACAGCAGGCCTCTTGACCTCAGGAGTCAATATTTCCTTTAAACACATATTGTATATATTTAGTGCTTGAGATTTTTCTTATACACCCCTGGATCATTTTCTGCCGGTCTCTTTTCAACTAGGCATCAGAAAGAATACAATATTCTACATGCCCAGAGCTAGGATCTGTTTTTCATATACATTTATGACAAGTCATAATTTTTAAAAGCCATAGACAACAAATCTGTTACTGAGTCTTAGATTGGAAGAAGAAGACCGAACGATCCTGTGTCCCAGTCCAGACAATACAAATGCTGGTCAAGCGCACAAGCAGTGACTCACTCTCAGGAAATGATATGTTATTACCCTCAACTCCTGAACCTTGTCATCTCTTCTCCTGCAGCTGCCACCTGCGACTAATTTCATGGTACAGCAGCTTATTTTTATAATAATACAGCCAAAAGTATTACCCCTCTAGAAGTGCTAGTGCTTTTTCATTTCTTCCTACAAGAGGGCTGAAACCCAACAAGACCAAATAGCTGGATGTTAAACTCGGGCTGTTATGAATGAGAAATAAGACATGGGCACTTTCTCCATCACTGGATAGCTACAAAGGAGAACTGTTTATCTCTCTGAAAAGCACACTTAAATCAAACCAAAGCACTCACACTTAGCAAACAAGGCAAATAAGTGTTTCAAATTTGATTTCAAAGACTTTTTTTTTTTTTTTTTTTTTTTTTTTAACTTATAGTGAGGGATTGGCCTTTTAGCCTTGGGGAAAAAAAATGCACTTTTTAGCACAAACATGAGTAAAAAGCTGCCCTCTTGGATACTTTGGAGATAAGGATATGGTCCTGCAAACAAAACTAATCACAAGTTGTCTGAAGACCTCTCTTTACTTAACCATCCACTTAACCATCTAACACACTGCATGGGACACAATAATGCACAATAAACTATACAGGTTTAAAGAAACATCAGAAAACAAACTTTTTGTGCTTGCACGAAATGCAGAACCTAGACCTGAGAGGCCTTCAAAAGCCATTCACACAGAGACTGGCTCTTAGGAAGGCTGGTTCCTACTGCTGTAGGATTGCTTTGGGCAAGGACCCAGTCAATGTCATGGATTCCTCATCTGCTAAATGCAAATGATAACATCAAACTTGTTATATAAAGCATCAGTAAATCTGTGAGTGCAAGGGTTACAGAAGAAAGTCCCCTCTTTGCCTATTTTACAAGGTTTACAAGCAGCCAGTGGCAGCAGTATAAGCAGTGAGGATGGGATGCTCCTACCTTCACAGATTCTTTCAATGATAAGCTCTTCATAACGCTGCAGGTCCTCATAGGAGGAGACGTGGACCAGGTAGTTGGGAGACCCAGCAGCGTCCCTCTATGCATCTCCAATGACCACCACGAACACCAAGATGCCGTTATTCCTCAGCTGCCGAGCTGGTGAAGCAGCGTCCTCCATGCCACCGCCATTCGTGAGCATCACCACCACCTTGTTGACACCAGGTCTTGCTCCTTTGTGCACAGTCATCACATCGCCATGAATATGCAGCAAGGCACTGCCGGGAGAGCTCGAGCCTCCAAGGAAGGGCAGCTGGTTGATGGCTTGGAGAAGAGATGAATTGCTAGTGTGGGTGTCCAGGGCGAACGCAGTGTGAGCTCTGCTGCTGTACACCACGAGGCCGATTTGGGTGACATCCCGGCTGATGCTGAAATGGGAAGATCCACTTCTGACAAAGTCTCTCAGCAGCAGGAAATTCTCCAGGCCAACTCCAGCTGAAGCATCCACCACAAACACCAAATCAAGGGACTGAGCCTGGCAGCCTGGATTAAAGAGTGCAAACATTGTATTTTTTCAAAATATATGTACTCCTTCTTGACCAAAAGAACAGAACAAACAATCAAACAAAAACAACCAGTCAGCAACAACAACAGAAAAAAAACAGGTGTGGGGCAAATACTAGCCAAAAATCATCATTGCTGATCATTGACTGTGAAGGCCAATCTACGATCCTTTATCACCAACAGATACAGCTCCATCATAACAGAAAACAATGAAAATTTAGTCCCTGAATCCATGAATAACACAAGCAAAAGAAAGACATTCTGTCTTTCGATTTTCTTGCCTCTTCAGCAGAGTTCAGAAACTGCTTGCAGTTTGACAGACTTCTCCCACGATGCACATGCCACTTACCTTCAGGACTGTCCATGCTGCAGATTCTTTTCTGCAGCTCTGGGATCTTGTTAAGGAGATCCTGGGGGCTGGAGTAGATGATTGTCTGCGTGGGATTGCCAGTCACCTCAGTCAGCTCTGCTCTCAGGAAGCTTCTGCCTATGCCGATGAGGAAAAGCCCTTGGTCTCTTGCATACTTGGCTGCTTCCACCACTGGATCTTGAGACTTGGAGTCCGTGAGCAAGACAGCTACCCGTGGGAGATCATCCTGCACATCTGCCAAGGCTGGGATGCTTCTAAAGCCATGCTGTGCAATGTACCACAGGGCTCTGCCTGTCTGAGTTTCTCCTCCACTGAAATTCAAAGCCTCAATACTCTTCATGAGACCAAACACATCCTTGTGCTGCCCCACTTCAATGGGTATCTTGACATCAGTATCATACTGAGCCACTCCCACATTCATTGGTGACTCCTGGCCCATCACAGCTTGAAGAAACCTCTTTAGAAATGCCTTGAAACGTAGGAATCCTTCCAGAGCGATCCCTGCTGAACTGTCCATCAGGAAAAGAAGATCGACGCTGCACTCAAGGCTCAGCTTCGGTCCTGGAAAGGGAGAGAGTGATTTGTTGAATGCAAGTCAAGAAGACAAGCACATTAGGCAGCTCAGTTGGATCTGCTGGAAGTGCTGATGCACGATGAAGGTCTGTTCCGTCTAGCAGGCTAAACGCATTGCCTGACGTTGCATGAGCTGGAGGACAACTATTTTGGTCAGATACCACAGAAGTCTTTACAGAACGGAAATATTTAGAGGATTCCTGGTATTTCAGATGCAAAAGTCTTCTCTTGTAGTATTCTCAGAATATCACTCAGAGTTTCAGAATATCACTGAGAAAGGATCTGATAGAATTTGAGACAATTTAAAGGGCCTTGATTTGAGGGGAGGTAGATGTTCAGCATTTTCTCAAGATAAGACACTTCTTCAGTGTTGCATATTGAATCCCCAAATCTGGATCCCCTTCTGCACAGAAGAGGAGCCAACACAGACCCTTCTGCTACATCTCTGCTAGTTTTATTTTGCTGCTCATGTGATGCCTTTGTTTAGAATTAAATATAGACTCACTAGCGCATGACTTTCTATTTTGGTGCTCTCCATATTCAAGAGTTCGGGGCAGCAAATCACAGTCACTAGTGACTAGTCAGTGACAAGTCAGTGATGTTAAATCAATGGGAGAGAAAACTCAGCCCATATCCTGTAATAAAGTCTAACCCCAGCCATCTGTGTGGAGATGCAATGGGCAATGCTAAAGCAGGGCATAACTAAGAAGGAAAGTTCTAGAGCAAATGAGCAGGTTCACACCTACCACAGTGGACGTCTGCTCCGTACCCCACCGGGCACAGGCAGTAGAACTTGACCAGTCCCTCTGAGACACAGGTACCCCCATTCTGGCATGGCTGGGAGTCGCAAGGGTCTAAAAGGAGCCAGGGAAAGGAAAGACAGAGTCAGCACCCCTTCCCATCCTGTTCCAGTGTGAACATGGCCATAAATTGGAAAAGGGCTCAAATTTCAGCCCATCATGCTGTGCAATTGAGCACAGATGCTCTCAATCCACTCAAGGCAATTTCATTGTTGCTGGAAGGTCTCCAAGCATTTCCATATGCATGTAACAGACATCAAGGAAACATGGTAAGGTTTCTGCAGATTTGCTAGAGGGTTTTTGACCCAAAAAAGATTAACAACATTAGCAGCTTCTCAAATTTAGCTTGCTTGATCTGGAATAACCCATTCCCCACACAGGCAGCTCCAACCTTTTAAGGAGTCTACTTAGCAAGTGCTATTTGGTAGCTCTCTTCCAGTTCACTGTCTGTTCCTCAACACTATCCACTTCCGAGGGTATGATGGCTCTCACACTTCATCTCTGATCTTAATTCCTTTGCTTTGGAATAACGACAGTGAAGTTACCTTCATGCAAATATAGCATAATTACTAAGGATAATGGAGCCTTTCCAGATTTACATTAGCAAAGAAGGAATCAAAACTTTATTTCTTGATCACTCATATTTCATTTGGACAAGGTATATTTGCCCATTAAGGGCTGGCAGGTTCAGCGTATCTTATTTTTCTTTAACCTTTGACTGTTCTAAGGCTGAGAAACTCAACTGGATTTTGACACCATTTTAGAAGTGAGAGTAAATCCCATCTGTTTTATTCATTATTTATTATTTCTCCTATATTGTAAATAAAAATTTAAAAAACAGTTAATTCCTACCTGGACAGACTGTTCGGAAACGTCTGGATGGATGTTTTATGAAAACTTTTTTCCATCTGAAATAGGAAGATTAATAATAAACAGAAGAACAAAATCTATCATGAATTTTAATCTTAACAAGTTATTTTCAAAGGTGAGCTCATTCTGCTTTCCGTGGAAAGAGCTTTCTTTGGTAAAGTTTTTTTTTTTTTTCTAAACAAGTATTTAATAAGAAAACAGCCTATTCTGAGTGGGATAGCAAAAGAAAAAAACAATTTCATCAAATTTATTGTTTTGCTTTTGAATTTTACTTCAACATGTTGTATTTTACATTTCAATATTAAAGATGTGTTTCAATGGCTCCACATTATTATTATTATTTATTTCCTACAGATATCTTAAACTTTTTGATTTAACTTGGAATGAAAATAAATTTGTATTCCCTGCTAACTTTGGCTTCCTGATACTGATGCAACTGTAATGGCTGCTGGACAAGCATGGTTTAGATTGGGAAGAAATTCTGACCTAGAAAACTCCTAGCATGGAAGAGATGCAAATGTGTGCAAGGGTGTTTGCCTCACAGTATTCCGGTTGCACAGGTAGGAAACATAACCCCAGTTCCATTCCTAATTTCTTTAGGCTCTTTGGCAAATTTTCTGCTTTTGAGTCTCAGAACCTCAGCTTACCTTTTGCCTTTCAGATCAGCCAGCTATTGGAGCAAGGATTAACTCTTCCTAGACCCACACACCATGTTTCCGTCAGTCTTCTCTGGGCTGTTTACCTCAATAGATTCATGATCCAGTTTAAGCCTCATTACTATCTCTTTCTTCTCGCTGTGCTGTCTGCTTTTAAAAGATATGCACGCCCATCTCACCTGTAAAACGGGCACAGTGAACCATGCACTGCGCTTTGCTGCTTTGAGCCTCTCCAGCATGCGAAGTTTCCAGACAGATCCTTCACAGTCTCCAGGGTCTTGCGCTCACAAGGATAGGACTCAATTTTGCAGTCTGTAGCAAAGAGAAAATTCTAAACAATTGCCTGAAAGCACCAAGTTTGTACAGGAGTGGAGCACCATTTTTACAACCAGGTCAGTTCTCCTTGCCTTACTGCTAACAAGCACATAAGAGAGGTCTACAAAGAGCCCTCTGCAAGAGCCCATGAGAGAATAACAAACTCGCTAGGCTACCCCACCTTCTGGGGTACTCACTCGTCAGCCTGCTTTGCTTTAGTGTAAAACTTGCATTGCTGAGTTTAGGCTCCACTGACACCTTAGACATTCTTGCTTTCAGCTTTCTTCTCCCTCTGGATCACTCCAGGACCCCCGGGGTAACTTTGCTGTCTCTTCAGAGTGCTGTCCGTTACCACACAGCCAAGTCCTTCAGGAGGTTTAAAATGACTGTGTTTATCCCTTTGCCTACCACAACATGAGCAAAGACAAATATTCTCCTTTTGGGGGTGAACCAAGAAAGATTTAGGGTCATACAACTTGCAGGAAAGGTAGTTGACAAGCAACCATCCCATTGGGGTACCAGAAACAGATAATGTCACAGTGCAACACCTACTGATCCCCCAGTAAGCTCAATTAGAGATTTGCTGGTTGGCTTGTCATCACACCACAATCTGCAGAGCAGCTCTGTCCTACCTTGCTCCTCAACTGGTTGGCTCCAAGGCAGGGATCTCAGCCTTCCTGAGTCTAGGAAATTAATTCTAACACGGTTCTACCTTTTTTCACCCAGAGACATGATGCAATCTCAGGGAGCAGGCTGGAAGGTGAAGGTGGGACCGGGGTTACCTGGAGCCGGGGCGCTGCAGACAGCAGAGCGGGTGAGGGTGCTGTAAAAGCCATTGGCGGCGTCGGCGGCATCTCCAGCGAACAGGACGTGCTGCTCAGCGGGGTCGCTAGCCAGCGCCTGCAGCTCCTCCCACCTGTGAACCCCATGTGTAAAGAGACCCTTGGTCCTACCCAAGGAACTAGGCAGCAAAACAAACCCTGGGCATGCAGTGGAGAGAGAACTGATACAAAAATTGACGCACTTCAAGGAGTTTTAGGGCTCTCGTGTGTTTAGACTTACATAGCAGCAAAGCTCTACCCAGTAAAAGAGCTTCCCTCACCAGTTCTGGTCCTTCTTCGCTCTTCACCAGATTAGTGATTCCCCTATGCCTATGCTACACCCCAAGTTCTCCTTTTTTCCCAAATTCATGTCTACCTCAAGACCTCTCCACCATCTCTCACTGACTAGGCCTTGCCATTTGGTTAGCTTTATTTTCAACCCTGTGGGAAAGTTTTCTACCTTGGAAACTTTATTCCTACTGCAAAAACCATGATCCTCCTCTCCTTCAGCTGCGTTGCAGGTATTTCAGTGTTGCCCTGGGACTTTCCGTCTGAAAGGATGATGAGGATTTCAGGGACAGTCGAGTTTCTGCCGCCGGGGAATCCCTTGCGAAGGATGTATTTCAGAGCCAGACCCGTCTCTGTGCTCCCACCTCTAAAAGAAGATAGCATTGGAAAAGCAAAATCAAACTTTTATTCCCTTCCTGAATTTATCATTTGATTTCCAGATAGAAATCTGGAAATCACTACCCTATAGCAGCAGGAAACTGAGTGTATTTCTGAATCTTACCACAGCACATCCAAAGATGTGCTTGTCATCTTCCAATCCATAGGTTCCATCTACTACCCTTACACACCCCTTCTTCAACCTGTAGTTCGCTCCAGAAGACTCCTAGCACATGGTGGAGCATTTCTGCAAGCTGAGCCATCACTAGACTAAGACAACAAAAAAACGCTGGGCAAAAGCATCTCATCCCTTGTAAAAAGCAAGGACAATGTGCACTTCAAGTTCTTCAGCTACTGTAGCCAACCCCTGCCTACAGCTATTAAATCTTTTTTTGTTGTTAGAGGGCTAAGCATTTGTCATAGCTTACCCCAAAGGGTTATAATCTTTAGTAGACATGAGTCTCCTCCTACTTTACTTGGTAGTTCTCTAGCTGCACAATGTGAGATCTCTGCAAGTTGCCACTCCTGGCTGATCATTTGATACCAGAGAAAATTCAGCCCACATGTTCCAGACTTTTCCATAATTAAGGCACTAAATCAGAGGAGATATTTCCAATTGTCTTCTAATTCAGTCCAAGGCACTGTACTGTAAATGATTTCCTGTGATTTCCATCCAAACATGAAAGAGGAAACAAACCCGAAGTTTCATTCCTTTCTTGGCTGTCTAATGTTCTCCTTCAGCTATGATGATGCAAAAATTCCTCTTTGCTTTCTGAATATCTTCTTTTGCTTCTGCAGCTCATTTGCTTGTTCTATAAAAACTTGTCATTGTGTCTAAATCTGTTCTTTTGTGTCTACTCTCTGAATTTCACAGAAGCTTTTTAACTCAGTGCATACCAAGCCCCTTCAGTCTGAGCATCTTCCTCAAGATACTGCCTTCTCTCTACTCCACCATTTCAAAATAAACTCAATGACTTTGTTCATAGTCCAGCAGCCAGCCTTCCTCTAGCCTAATATCCAGGCTGGATAAACTGAAAGATTTCATCTCAGACAACTCATTACCTTAGCTCAGGACATGATATTGGCATCTTCAAAATCTGGTATTGATGCAGGAAGGACTTCTTTAGGTTGCTGGATGATATGAAAGTCCCCTTATCCCCCTAAAACCTACATGGCAACTCAACCTACCATGCATGAAATGACATTTTATGTATTTAAGTTGCAGATGTTTTATAATGTTTATCTATATAGATCAACTTATTAAATATTGAGATACTTTAGTGATAAATGCTGTGTTTGGGGGAATATGCATTGTACATGTTCAGTTTGATGACTAAATTTTAATGACTCAGTAATCTGTGATAATAGGAGTCTTAAAGATTAGAGGTAGTTAATAAACTGTGTCTGTATATCAAAACTTTCTAATTCCAACTTTCTAATACCAACAGAGGATGGTATTTAAAAATAACAAACTCAAAAACTTGCAAATACATAATGTCCACGTTGTACATTTGCCTACGTCTGCATTGCAGTAATTACCTAGTTGCAAGTTGCTAGTCTCTACTGTGAGCATGCAAAATCGAATAAAAATCACTTAAAAAAAATCACATTCTGTCATGTGAAAGATTACTTCCTTTCTCAAGTCAAATAGATCTGTTTATATGTATGAAGAGCTGAGATGCACCGTTGAGCCCCATTGACTAATAAACTCTTAAATTTTCACTGCATCTTTCTGAATAATATTCTGGTCCCGCAGTAGCTGCTGGATTGAATTGGGGGATTTCAATCAATGCATTTTCAGTGACATTTAAAGAGAGTGTACAGCTGCTTCGGTCTAAAATGAGACATTCCTGACACTCACCCGGTCTGGCCTGATGTCCAAGGCATCGCAGAGCTTACCCATGAAGTGCTTGGACCTTTCAAAGCTTCCCTTGCCGATGCTGTAGGAGCCATCCAAGAGGAAAAGGACATCTACCGAAGCCGAGCACTGCATCGCTAGGAGAGAGCGAGACAGACACGGTCACACCGTGCACACGCACCCGGACCTCACTCACAGGTGACAGCAGAATTCAGACGGGCAGATTTTAAAGAAAACAAGCCAAAAAAAAAATTATCTATAAAAAAAGTATCAGCATTGATGCAGGGAAGTTCAAAACCTGTAGGAGACCAGCTTAGCCAGATATGTGTCATCTACAAAGAATTTTTCAATTCACACTGCGTTTCTCTAAACACAAATTCTCTGAACAGCTCCCAAAAATCAGTCTATTCTCCTCTCTGCAGAGTCATGTCCTGGTACCACCTCTGCCCATAGGAATGTCTGCTCCTGCACCAAGTTCCTGAGGAGGGTACCATGAGATGGAAGCCCTCCGTTTCACTGACAGATTAAACAGTCCCTACAGACTCTGAAGATAGGTTTTCAAAGTCATTTAGAGAGATAGTCTTTTTGATAAATTTTAAAGTCTGCAGCATCTCCTAAAAGCATCTTCAAGGGAAACTGAGATGAAAATAAGGGAGAAGGGATAAGAGGGAAGCACATCAAGTATTTCTTCTAAAACAACATTTTGAAGAGGCAAACTGCAAGAACAACTTTTGCCCTATGACCCTCCACTATCCCCCCAAATCACTAATTTTTTTCCAGATCATTCCTGCTCTCAAGAGCTGAATTTACACTTAAGTTTTTTTAGTGCCGGATCACAAGGAACATAAAGATGTAAAGCTTTCCTTTCTGGATTGCTCGGTTGTGTAGCAGTCACCATGGAGCACTGTCCTTTGTAAGTCAGCTCCACCATCCCACAGAACAAGGCCCCTTCACCAGCATTTTCTCTGTCTCCTTTGTTGGATGGAAGATGCTCCGTATTTTTTCACTTCCTAAGTGCTGGACTTTACCACATGAGTAGCAAATTGGGTAGTGGTTTCAAGCATGTTCTTGCTGAAGATGTCAGTTATGGGTTATTGGTCATGACACTTGTGCTTGAACTATCACCTGGTTTCATGTCAAATACATGATTTTTTTTTTTTTTTGTGAGAAGTGACATTTTATTACACTGAAAGGGAAACTGCATGGAGTTCAGAGTAGCTTTTGCAAGACACTAAGAGGTGGCAGAACAGAAGCTAATTAAAACTAAGGACATATAAAGGATTAAAACTGCACAGCCCTGAAAAACTGGGGCATTATTGGAGTAAGTTACGGCCTTGGAGTAGAGATTTCATAGAACAACAAGCATAAGAACAAGGGAAGAAGGAATTTAGAGAGTATAAGTCTTGCTTTATAAAAACAAACTTACACTGGCCAGCAGCTGAGATCTTGACAATCTTCTCCTGGTCAGCATGGATTTCTTGTATATCCACCACCAGCAAAACTGTAGGATCAAACAGATAAACCATCCATGAATCTTAAGTGCTGCCTTAAAAACAAAACAGGCACACAGGTTTTAATCACAGGCAGGAAAAGTGCTATTTTGCTGGTGTGTTTACACTCATCAAGAATCATTTAGCGAGGTAGCACAGCAGCACATCTAAGGGAAGACCAGAGAGGCCTTGGGAACAGGCAAGGACTCATCTGAGGGCAAAGAACAGTCGGTCTCTCTGCTCACTGCAGGTCAGGACAAGAACAACAGCCAGGACACATTTAGACTCTGAACGTTATAGTCATAAGCATAAGACACACAACACAGTTTAATCCGAAAGAAAGCATACTGTATAAATTATCAAATTTACCCATATAAAATAATTTTCCCACATGAAAATCAGACAAACATGCCTGAATTCTCAGAAAATCTGTTTCTTGAAATATGATTTTCACAACTCCTGTGTGAAACTCTGTTTCAGAGATTCATATTTAAACCTCCTGGAGAGACATTTAGCTCTTCTGCCTTCGGGTAAAGAGTTCCAGAGGGACACAGTGAAAGTGCCTGAGATAGGGCCACACTGAGGGGAAAAAGCAGTGTTAAACATACCTTGGGAAAGCAGAAAAATGCAGATGGACTCAAATAACAGCAAGAAGGTCATGGTGACAAATCTAAATTAAAAAAAAAAAGAAAAAAAATCAGTTTCTGCATCTAATCATATCTTTGCTGGACGTCTCACATGTTGAGTTCATAAACATTTGATCTAAGAGGCAAAAGCACCACAGGTGCCCTGAGGAAAGGGGTGGGAGACAAGGAGCAAAAAGGAGAACCTGGGACTACCTCAACATAACCTTCAGCCACATGGGCTGCCACCTCTCCCGGGGCCATGGAGCCCATGGAGCAATGGGAAAAAACACGACTTTATTGAAATAAGATGATGACAATGTCAAAAATAACTATTTTTTGGAGATAAAATTAATCTTTATCACATTTCAGTTCTAATCTTGCAAGACTGCTTAACAGCAGCTCTTCCACTGGCTTTAGCAAGACCTGCTGGGGCACCTCCAGAAGCAGAGCTGAGCTCCTAAGCTCCAGGATGAGATCAGACCTAACACTCATCAGTCACATTTCACACCAACTGGCATTTTCACACCAACTGGATTGTCTTGATTGTCTGTACACATTTCTGGATCCTCATTTTTCCATATTTTGAGCAGGTCAGGTATCAGTAGGAGAGCATGCCCAGTTACCCTCATGGGTATGTATTGAATAGAAGGTTAAAAAGGCATCATTAGGAATTACTGACACAATAATGCTCACCTTCCATTGCATTTTGTATTTCTTTATCCTGTTTCAGGTGCTTTACAAGCATCTTCCTTTAACGCATCCTCCCAACACACCCACCAGGCTGCTGTTGCCAAAGTAGCAGATTCCAAGTTTGCTCAAGTAGAGGAAGGTAAACACAAGCTCATCAGAGAAGCTTTAGTAACTTCAAGCCCCAACACATGCAAAGGGGCTGTGGTTACAGCTTTGCCTTTTCCCAAGGGCAGGTTTTCTTGGAGCTAATTCCAGAGCACAAAATACCAAAAGTAGAACAAGTCTCCACTTGCAGCCAGATGTGACAGGTGTGAGGGAAATAGGGGTGGCCTTTACATGGAATACAGAACAATTTAGATATTTCTACAATTTGGCCTTATCTTGGGCTTAAATCAATTAATTTGCAGGATCAACAGGTTAACTTTGAGCTCAGTAGAGTGTCACCAGCTGAAGTCTAATGAACACTTAATTGCTGGCTGCTCATCAACTCCTCCCAGGATTAGGTGCAGGCAGGTGAAGTGACACCAGCTTTGCTAGGGGGAGGGAGGAAGATGACCGAAGGGACATATTATTTGATCTTCTATTCAGAAGCATCTGCCTTAGTATCAGACCAAAAAAAACACCCTTAAAAAAAAAATGCAGTAAAAGCTTCTCTTCTTGGTATGCAGATTCTCATGTGGCCAGCATGAATCTAAGAAGTTATACAGGCTGCTGTTTCAGCAAGAAAGCGGAACAGTCTTGCAGTTGCTTGTGATACACACTGCTGATACCTCATTGAACTTGCCTGCCATGAAGAAACTTCATCAGATATTATCATATCTACATCCACCCATATAAACATATCCACCATGTCTACACACTTATCAAAACAGTAATATCATGTGTAGTACTTTGAGGCAATTGTTACTTGAATACTGGAATAAGAATGGTATTTAAATATATCAGTCAGCTGCTTTAATTAAATACCACCTCTTTTCATCTGAGAGACCTGGCTTGCAACAAAACATCCCCCAGCTCATTCTTCTATTTAACAGCAAGAGAAAAAGTAAAAAAGATTCTGCCACATTTTCATCAAAGCATAATTTTAACAGGTTTTAAAACTGTGATTCCTTTCAGAGCTTTTTTGTTGGACAGGACATGACACCACAATGTTGAGGGGATCCCAACGACTGATGGGCATGAAGGAGAGTCTCTGAAGGTTGAAAACCCCTTTCCAAAGGGGAGTTTGACTTCCTGGGGAAAGCATTATTTTTCTCAAGTGAGAGCAGCTTTTCTGTTCAGTTTCCCCAGTTTCCTTTCACATTTCCTCCTCTCCCTCCTGTTCTCCTGGAAAGCAGGTGGTCAAATGATTCTTGATCCTGATGTGCTGCTCACAAGGGGTACTATCCAAGTCGCCTTACTGCAGATTAGATCCTGTAACACCCAAGATGTCCTGAATAGAAGACACTTTTCTGACCCCTGAAGCTGTGCTGAAGTAACGGTGCAGGTTTTTCTGACAGAAGGGCCCATGCTGCTCACTTTGCCCAAGGGTAGATCAGCAGAATGCCACATACAAGACCCCTCAGGAGTGGGAGCAGTTCAAGCCCTGAAAATCCATGTAGCAGGGGCAGATAGCTGGTGTGAACTGCAGGAAGGAAAGCTCTGAGATGACAGGGTACAGGAATCTCTATGAAGACAGCGTAAACCAAGGCAGCGTGGAAAAATAACTAGGCAAACAAGTATCTCAAGGTTACGAAAACATAGAGCTGAGTCACCCTGTGCTGAGAGATGACTAATTCAAGGCTATGGAGCCTAGTGCAATTAGAATCCCCTCCTGGGTCCCCTCCCCAGTTGTGCATGTCTGAAAAGCTGGCAGGTGGGTGCTTGGTCTCCATTGCTCTACCAACCAGAAACCTCATACCTGGGTGCAGGCTTCCACCTACACAGCAGCAGGTGTAGGTGACTGCCAAAGAAATAGTGGGAAGGAGTTTCCCCACACCACAGCCTGTGTAGCATCTAGGGGAGATGCTTTGTTTGCTGAGAAGACTCTGACTTTAACAAGTTTCCAGACGTCACAAATGTGTTTGTTCAAGAGCTTCCCAGAAGGGCAGGAAAGTCTTAGATTTGTCACCTCGATCTTTGGGATAAATTAACTTTTATCATTGTAGTCATTAATACCCTGATGCCCAGGAAATCTTCCAGACAGAGAGCATCAAGGCAATATCTCCTCTAGGCAGGAGACAAGGTGCCCTAGCCACCATGGGAGAAGCAAACCGTTAGCAAAGAGCACCAGTCAGGCCAAACATGGGCCTCAAACCACAGGCATCTCACTGGATGACTTAAAAGGTGTCCCTGCTAGAGCAGGGGGTTGGACTAGATGATCCCTGGAATTCTGTGAAAAGGACCAAGCTCAACTGGTATCACAAGCAGGAATGAGCTCTTAAGTTTCCATCCAGAGGAAACAGTTCGAAGGGAGGAAAAAACTTCTACTGACTTTTCTGGTATTCATGTTAGCTCTCAGAACAAGAGACCTTGGCCTGGCTGATGATAGGATGCCCCTGATCATGACATACCCCTACTGTTACACAAAATTATCTGCAGCTCACACTTTACACTTTAAGCCCCCAGAGACAAGCCACAGCCTGTGAACTTTATCCATAGCACCACTCCTGCAAATCCATGCAAGCTGTTACCTGCATTTATTTTTAGGAGAGTTACATGTGCTGTTCCTAAAGAAGTTTCAGAAAATTGGAATCTTCGTTCTTTTTTCCTCCTTTTCCCTGCAGAATTTCAGTAAGAGCAAGAGGAGTTGAAGAGGGTTTTTTTTTTTTTTTTTTTTTTAAATCATTTCAATCCTAAACCTAATAACCTGATTAAATGGCCATCCCTTCCAGAGCTCGGGCTGAGAGCAGTGTGGGGAGCAGGCTCAGCACAAAGCCCGTTCATCCCGTAGCTCGCAGAAGCACTTGGCACACGCTGTGAAGCCTGTGACATGCAAAACGATGTGGCTCTGTGTGGAATCGGCATTTCCTGCTGATTCTCATCAGGTTAAATAAAGAACTAAGAGAGGAGGCAGGTCAGCATAAGCCCCACAAGCTATTTTTGCAATTTCTTGCTCACAGAGGCACAATTTACTTTGCTTCTGCTCTGGTTCCTGGTTCCTTTAATGTACAAGTGTCTGGCTTACTATGGACATCAAGTCCCTCTGTTTCTGCTGAGAGCTGATCAAATCTTTGCACCTTCTGCAGATAGGTTTTAACTCAAGACATCAGAATCTGTGCAAGAGGCTGTCCTAGAAAGTTCTGCACTTCTACGCCAGCTGCACCCCAAAATGATGAGAAACAAGTAATTAAAAACATTACAACATGAGTCTGAAAGCCTTTTTTTTTTTTTTTTTTTGTTATTTTAGTAACACCGTGCAGCACTGTCTATTCACAAGAGCCAACAAGTGTCCCTCACTCAAGAAGAGTGTGACCATACTCCATGCCCTGTAAATGCAGGGGCAAAGCTTGGGCTCTTGGTGGCCCTGGGCAGCCGGCCACAAGGCAGCCCCTGCCCAAGCCGGGGCAGAGCCTGTCCTTGATGCTGGTTCTTTGCCTGAGCTGGGAAGGGAACCCAGCAGAGCATGAGGACTCCAGGTTGTTTTTTTTCCCCTCTCTTTTGCCCTTGTTCTATCTGCTTTCTAAACAAGGTCCCTGATGAGAGCGCTGCCAAGCTCCTCCCGTTCCGACGGCAGGTCCCTGGCTGCATCCTGACCAGCATTGGCCCCACAGAACCGAGCAGAGCACGCATGAAGACACGGGCTGGGGAACAGCGTTTTGCAGCAGAAAAGCAGGGTGCCTTTAACCACCCCTCGCGCCCCAGCCCTGCCCCACAGCCCCTCCGCAGCAGGGCCAGGGCCACCTACCTCCCTCCTGCCGTCCAGCTGCTGCACGGACTGGATGTGTGTCCCCGCACTGGGTGTGGTGGTTCCGGCCGCTCCGCTGCTGCACAGACCGCGCTGTGCGTGCCGGTTCCGGCTGCTCCGCTGCTAACTGCGGGGAGGAGTTTGACAAAAGTTCCCTGCGAAAATTGGAATAAACTTTTCTTTCCATTAAACCAGAAGGCAGTGAAAGGCAGGCTGTCTTTCTTGGCAGGAGGTGTCACTCCAGCCCATGCCGCATTGTGCTCAGACCCCGGGGGAGCACAGCCCTGAGCCCACGAAGCAAGGCACTGCCCGCGGCAAGACACGGCTCCGAGAGCAGCTGAAGCAGAAAGGGGTGCAGAGCGATGCCCTGCAAATGCACTGGAAGGTCTGTCTCAGTCCTAGGTGATCGGCTTGTAACTGAACAGCTGCCATAAACCTGCAATCATTTCTTTTTAAAAAACACTGTATATCTCCAATATTTTAATCTCTCCCCTTATGGGGTAAGTTTAAGAGACTGCTGCACTAATTACTCTGAAGAAGCTTACGACCATCACCTTGAATTTCCGTTCAGAGGCTGACACGGGTCTCACCAGGCTCCAGCGGGAGCTCCTCCCTCTGCTCTGCCATGCACAGGCTGTGATGGGCTGGCACCTCCAGAGCAGTGACAGTAACTTCGGGAGGGAAAAAATGCCAGACTGCCTTGGACGAAGCTCTCGGGGAGGCAGCAAGGCTGCAACTCTGCATCAGGCTGTCCAGAGCAATAGCCCCAAACTGAACCGCTTGAGCAGCGTCTCTCCAACACGCAAGCAGCAATTTTTGATGCCCATTTAAGACAAATAGGGATTTCTTCTTTCAGTTTTCTTTTTCCTACCTTTCCAGGGTTAAAGCAACTACTTCTGACTGGTGCCATGCAAGTCTGCGTAGGAAACAGAATGGCTGCTTGCAGGACAGCAGTTGCTAGGAGAGGGAAGAGGTGGAGAGGGAAGCAAAGCAGCAGCAACGCGTTGTACAGATGGGCAAACCCTTTTTCAAAAAAAAGTCAGTCTTCCCAGGAAGATAACAGACCCTCAAAACTCAAACAACAACTCTGGAAAAAATTAATGCAAGATTTATTCTAACTATTAAGCAGGGCAAGCACTTGACTACATGAAAAAAGTAAGAAAGGACAGAAAAAGATTGAGGCAACTTATGAATAAGACAGTAAGACAAGCAAAACCATTTCACTTCCAAAACAATTTAATCTCCAATCCAACTGGATTTGGAGTACCAGTAACATCTTTGCTTACAGTGTACTAACGGTGATTTGGAATGCACTTGTATTATTGCCAGTGGACTAAGAGGCAGAAATTATGACTACTCATCCAAGAAAGTTTATTAATAGACAGCCAGGACTTTTGTCATACCCCAGACTGAGCTTTTTTATTATACCATGTAAACAAAAATTTGCTGAGTATCAGTCTTAAACATATTTCTTCTTGTAACATAGCCAAAAATCAAGACATCTATCAGAACTCATTTCAAAGCAATATTCAGAAGTGCAAATTAAACAACATAATTGTAAATAAAGAATTATGTGCATTTAAGTGTTTACTGATTACAGGGAGAGAAAGAACTGTCTATACATAGTCCAAGTTAAGATTCAACCTTTTACAATACTGAAACCAAGCTTATGAAGAATGATTTTGAGTCTACTAACCTCAGACAAGAAATTAAGTTGAAATATAACCAGAGGATAGCATCATTTTTCAAGTGAAGTGAAAGGCATCAAAGCTGAAGCCAGCTGTATGATTATAATTGTTTGAAATTCAAATACTAGCAAGATGATTCCTTTATGGAACATCACTACATTGTAGGTTATGTACATTCAACAGCTAAATAAACCGAGTAGTTTATAAACGTATTATAGCATCAAACAAAAACTAAAGAGGAAATATAACTTGCAGTTTTGAAACCTTTCAAAGTTAAGTACTCTTTTACAGTAATAGTCCATAGAGGTGAGTATTTAAACAGCAAAATTCCTCCAAAGCAACTCTCTCCTTTTAAAGCTGATGAATACAATTGCTCTTCCAAAAAATGAACTCATCAGAGACTTAATCCAACAGTTTTTTCATTTCACTGAATCCATCACAATTCCCATATTTGTTTAAAAGAAAGAGGAGAATCTGTTCATGTTTCTTAAGCTGTGAAATAAGGACAAAGAATTAGCAGGAATATTTTCTTTAAAACATACACGTTTTTAATGTAAAAAAATTAAAACCTTTTTAATATAGAAAGTGTGTATGTTATTTTTAACCGCCAATTTCAAATTAGAGTAGATAGCAAAGCTAATCTCAGTCAAGTCCTTTACTAGCTCAATGAAAACAGAGCTCCTTCCTATGCTAACACACAAACTCTGTAGATGAAGTATAGCTAACACCTTTTTTTTATTACTTAAATGAACAGCCTTGAACAGAATTGATAAAATACTCTAAACACATGTGACATAACAGACTTGTAAAGACACCCTTTTACTCAATTTTCTTTGCCCCACCTGGCTATTTCTTGGAATTTCAGTTCAATTTGGAATCCTCTCACTTCTCTTCATTTGCCCTGTGACTTTGAGCCAATCTTACTGGAATGAGGAAGAATGGCGAGAGGGGGAACCCTCCCGCAAAGTCATCAGAGAAGTCAGACAAGAAATTAGATGGATCAAATCCAGAGAACTGGATCATCAAATTGACACTGATCTGAAGTTCTTTCCAGCATTTCCTAAGCACCATCAGTTAACATTAAAAGCAAGACTTAAAAACAAAAATAAACCAAAAATTTAGAGAAAAGTAACATTTCCATAAGTGATGTTTCTTTTTCCCCTTCCACCCCCACGAAGGAGCTGTTGTTACACCAGTGTCCACATCTGTTGAAGCTGCAGGTTCCCAGTCCTAGCTCCATGACCAAAACAATGCATGTTTATTACTACTATTAACTGTGCTACCCAAAATCAACACAGTAAGAATTTTCTTAAATGTGCAGCTGTGAAATTTAAAGCTACAGAAAAAACACAGCCATATTAAAACAAACACACACCCCAAAGCAAGCCAACAAAAAACTCTATCCTTTGCCCAAATGATGCAGCTTATGCAAAATGCAGCAACTACTTTTACAATACACAGAAAAGCAACATTCCCGAGCCTTCATACTTGGGGAAAAAAAGTTATTGGGCTGTGTAGGTGTGGCAAAATATGGACAGGAAATACATCACAGTCTTGCTCTATATCAGTAGTAAAAAAAAAAAAAAAAAAAAGAGTCAGGATATTTGCTATACATTTCATTTCCTCAGTGATTCAGCTAGCTATTACTGCCTTCCTGGTCTCTCTCCCTTCCTACTTTGGCTTGCATTTAAATTTTGGAGAAGTAACATATTAACATCATTTGCACTGAGTCTTACTTGCACACTCAAATCTGCACAGCAGCACTTGGTCTCACTCCCACAGCCTACAAAAAGAAAGCAAATAAATGAGCAAAGCATGTTTGAGCACTGCTTCCCCTCGGAGGGCTCCTTTAGGCATGCTACATGCACACCTTAAATTCAGAGAGTGAAAATAAGTACCTTGATGTAGAGCAGGCAGGTTCTCAGTACTGCTGTATTTGACCAAGCCCTCTGTTACTAGTTTCTCAGCTACATTCAGACTACCATTTTCAGAGAGTTTCTCCACTACAACAAGATTAACATTTCCACTAATCCCTTTCACTGTAATTGTGACGTGTTTATTCAATAACATTTCTTTTAACATATCTAGTAGCAATGGAGGCCACTCAGCTTTCTTGATTCCTGTGAGATGGAAAAAAGAAGAGGATACTACAAACCTGATTGTGCTATAAACAGGTCCTTTACAGTATCACTTAAATCTTGCACATCACACCATTATATTTTTGAAAGTACAAAGGTTAACCTTTATACTAACAGTTCACAGAATCCCAGAATGGTTGAGGTTGGAAGGGACCTCTAGAGATCATCTAGTCCAACCCCCTGCTCCAGCAGGCACACCCAGAACATGGGGCACAGGGCGGCATCCAGGCCAGTTGTGAAGACCTCAAGAGAAGGAGACTCCACAACCTCCCTGGGCAGCCTGTTCCGGGGTTCTGTCACCCTCACAGGAAAGAAGTTCCTCCTCACCTGGAGATGGAACTGCCTGTGTTGCAGCTTACACCCATTTCCCCTTGTCCTGTCACTGGCCACCACTGAGAAGACCTTGGCCCCTTCCTCCCTACATTCCCCCTTCAGGTACTTATACATGTTGATCATATCCCCTCCCTCTCAGCCTTCTCTTCTCCAAGCTAAACAGGCCCAACTCACTCAGTCTCTCCTGGTACGAGAGATGTTCCCGTCCCTTAATCATCTTTGTTGTCCTCCACTGGACCCTCTCTAGAAACTCCACGTCTCTTACACTGGCAAGCCCAGAACAGTTCAGTTAACAGCTTACATTTTGTCTTTTTCCCTGTAGATTTTTTTCAGATCTACTACCTAAAAACATTCTTTTTAGAACAGCTTCCACAGAACTATCCATCATTCTGCTACAGCAGATCACCTTATTTGTCTATAAAGAAGGAATACATACTATAATCAGTATATTATATATATTATTGTAGATATATAATATCTATATCTGTTATAGATATATATAATAAGAAAATAACCCATCAGGTTTTCTACCTGCAAGTGAGCACTTAATTATCTTAAAAGGCAGCTTCAAGTAGGATTCAGTGATTGGCAACACACTCGAAAGTGGTAAAGTTTCTGTATTCCCATAGTCTGCATATAGCACTCTCACTAAGGACTGAGACACTTTTAGAACAAGGGCTCTGTACCAACGGCCATCACCTGAAAAGATCAAAACACAAAGGTCTTAGGCAAAACACTTTTACAGATACAGATTATCCTGAGAACGAGAACCTCCGTTCAGCTGTGTAGCTTTCCGGGAATGTTCTACATTTGGCATCTTTTTAAGTACTCCTGTATTTACAGAAGGCAACCTGAGAACAAAACTCACAGAGCAAGGAATAATTTCCAATTGTAGCATTTATAAGATGTAACCACTCCTTTCAGATTTTTGCCCCAATTATACAGACAGGATTTTTACTATAACATTCTTTAAAAGCTCTATACACATTACTTACAGTTCACTACCTTTGTTTCCCCATACACAACTCCTTTCAATACATGAGACTTTAGAAGTATCTCCTGTCCCAGTTATTCTAAAAAGCCAAATATTTAAGTCAGGTGATCAACAGTTCTTAAGTACATACCTGTGTTCTGCCTTTGCAATTCATCCATTACGTTTTCCAAGAGTTATTTCATCTACAATCCATCATCAACAACCCATTTTACAGCATTTACACTCTCTGTGTGTGTGTATATATATATATATATATATTTTTTTTTTTTTTTTCCCTTAATTAGTGACCTAACATATCAGCAGGCTACTGCCTGTTCTTAAGGTTTAGGACCTGCCAGGGACACTGGCACCCCACAAGGTAAACCCCAAGCCACAAGAGTTTCTGTGTCCATGCTGATGCACTGCGCATTACCATGGGCTTAACAACTCTGTGACTTACAGTGTCACCAAAACTTCCATTTTTACAGTTACTAGCTATTCCCTCCCTGCCCCAAGGTGCTCATACTCTGTATTTTCTCTCCCAGACAGTCACACAGCTTATTTACCCTAAAAACAATGGAGCTATACTTTGTGACAGAGTAAGAGACCCGTAAGCACTTCAAAATTAGAATTTTTCCTTTCTGTAAAAGGAGGGAAGAAAAAATGTTTTATACTCGCTCACCTGAAAACTTTGCACAACAGACTTCACCCACTTTGGGGTTAAAGGGCTGCTTGTTACAAGATCTGCAGTACTCTTCCAGATCAGCCAACTGCTGATATGGTGTCTCTTGATCTATGGAGACAAAGCATTTGATGAGCAATCTAGTTTGGGTATAACAAATAGCATCATTGTATCAGTTCTTAACCTGGTTCAAAGCTCCCCCACCCCATTCTTCTGCTTTTTTCTGTATTTTCCAACTTTCCAAACCTCATTTGCATGTGATTCAGCAGGCTTTCATCTGGTTAACCAGATTGCAGCAAAGGCTTTTTACTGATATTAAGAATAGAAGACTGTTTCTTACCTCTAGTTTGAATTGGTACAACATAGAACAAGTCTGGGCTCAAAACTTCTGTTACACAGACGGAGAGGGTTTCACCAATAGCCAATTCTACTGACTTCCATTGCCCAGGGGAGCTTTCTAATAGAGTTAGAGACCAATAAAATGCAGTGTAACACTTTAAAACATATACTGGTTAGAGGTGCCTGCTATAGAATATTATTTTGAATTTTACCAGCACCTGCATGCCTTTATTACAATAAAATAAAGCTAAAACAAGACATTCTTGCTGCATTTTCTTTTCACTAGCTAGTTTTTAACATGGTAGTAATTCATATGAAAAAGACTGCAAGAAAAATAATAATAATAAATACTGGTAAGTAAGCCCAGAGTAGTTTCGGTCTTATAGCACATTTATCTCTCTCCAATGTCAAGTATTCAAAGAGCAATCATTTAAAACAAACCCAGTAATTTTTCATTTATTTTTGCCTATAATGCCACATTATATGGGCAGCTTATGCTTAACTCATTATACACTCAAAATTATGTATGTTTGCTCCTGATTTTAGTTAAGACCAAAACCACGGTTAAAGGTCGGACTGCTAAAAATTCCTGATCAACCTAAAAATTAATACTCATTTTTAATTACCTTTTTTGTCAACAAATTTATTTGGACACTTATTCTTATCTCGTAAAACTTCTTTTACAGCCAACTGCTCACAAGTTAACATCTCGTTGATGACTTTGGGACAACCTGTGGAATTGTCGATGAGCTCTACACCCGCCCCGTCGCTGGAGAAGGAAACTACTCTGGCCTGGAGCTTGGAGCCTGCTGCATACATGTGAAACCTTGCTGTAGCTTCTGGGATCCATTTGCTGTTAATAGGCTTTATACCTAGGAACAGAAAACAGGCTTATAAAAATGCATTATTATATATTCCTAGGCTTAACCTACGACTAGCTTAATAGGCTTCTTACCTAGGAAGTAGGAGCTGTTTAAAATACCTCCATTATGCAACTTTTCCCAACATTATGCAATTGTTTTTAAAGCACAGTTCTATTTCAAGACTTACTACCTTTGAGGTACACATTCTGTTTCACACTTGATAACCTCTCTTCCTCTTTTCTTCTCACCTAAAACACTTTCTCAAGATATCGAAGGCTTCTACCTTGCTACAATTGATGCTATTCTACTAAATCAATGCTTGTGTTTAAGCATAAATATTACAAACAGTATTTATAAAATAATTTTGTATACGGCCTTTTTTTCCTCCAAATTGTCTGGAAAGTCAAGAAAATCTGATATGCTCAGATTTTTTTTCCCCCCTATTTTCATGTGATTTTTTTAAACCTAGAAGACTGCATTAAAAAGACTCAACAGTATTCTGTAGGATTTTGAGTGATCTAGTGCTCAGAAGGAAGAACAGGAGAATATGGAGAACATGGAGAAATAACAGTAGAGGGCCAGACTCCACAAGAACCAAATGAAAGAGATCTATAGAAAGCTGAAAGGTCAACTTGGCTCATGAAGACACAGAAGCTCCCTGGACTGCAAAAAACTTTGTGAAAAATCACCTAGTTGCACAAAAGCAAAATACAACCATTTACCCTTAGCAACCAAATGCCAGTGAGCACCACAGATGAAGTAGCACTGAGCTACGAATTCCCTTTGATTGGTAAAGCAGAAACTTCCATACTAGATGACTCTACAGCACTTTCTGGAGCTCCAAGAGGAGCAAATGTCTTTCTGCTAAATACCAATCTGCTGCGAGGTTAAGGCTAGAACAACGGTTCCCAAGACTTCCAGAGTCTGGAATCTACATACAAGGCATATATGGTACAACAGAACTGCACAGGCTATACTGATAGCTTGTGCTCCCCTCTTTTTTTTAAAGTGAAACAGTTTTTACGATGAAAGAAGCCGTAAGATGCACCTGAAAGCCAGCATTTAATTCCTTGAAATGGGAGTTTTAGGAATGAGGATGAAATCTGACGAATTTTGTCCAGTGGTACTTCCTCAACATTTCCATAGTCCACAAAGCAGACTTTAACAGCTCCATCTGAAGTGACGTTTTGCACCAAAGCACGGTACCAGTTACCATCAGCTGATTTAAGAAAGTCAGAAAGAAAAAACACTCTCTCATTAACTTAATTTTACGAGTAATTTTTTTTTGTTAGAGAATAAATACAACTCCTTGTTATCCTCTGCATAAGAGACTGCTTTTTTTTTAATTTCACAAAATTTAAAAAATTAAATTTAATTTTGATTTAATTTTCAAATTGAAATATTCTCATTTCTTACATACCAGAAAAAAAAGCACAGCAAGGTTCTCCATTCTTAGGTTTAAAAACACTTGGTGGAGTTTTTTGACAGTATTCAGACAATGATTTGTTAAGTGAGTTTAGAGCAAGTAACTCTGAAAACCAGAATAAAAACAAAGACAAGATCAATACAGCAAGCTGAATAAAACTTAGTAATGTTTGCCTTATAGTTCTCTTATATGTGACTTGGGAAGATTTCACTGAAATTTAGTAATTTAAAAATAACTGAAGTTAGTTAATATAGTTAAACTATTAACTATTAAAACAGTTAATTTATTGGTAACATTCATCAGTATGACCTGAGAAAGCTGATCTTTCTTGATAAATACTATAGCAAGACAACTAATTCTTCCCATTAATGCAACAAACACCTTTAACTCCATAATGTGAAGGATTTAGGGAGATTAGCTACTTCAGTCAACCCATGACAAACCCCGGGACCCCATACTGCTCTTTTGTATCAAATTCTCCCTCTCTTAGGGAAGCAGGCAGGCTTTAATGTGCTAAGACATTCAGAATCCACACTACCCTCGAAGAGCCAGGTGGATTTCCCCTGCTTTTTTAAGATCTGCCCTCTACTTCTAATTTAAAGGTCTGAAAAGGACAATCAAATACATTTAACTTCATCATGCTTTTTCTACTACATTAAAAAAAAAAGCCAGTGATTATCAGAAAGCTTTCTCTGTAAAGGGAGAAACAAGATATTTGGAGTGTATCCAGAAGAAAAGGAAGTCTCAGAAAATGTATTTTTTCGCCTTCACATTTATCTCTTCTGAGTCTTTCCACCGTGTCAGTGCAGCTTTTTAAATTTTTGCATTAGAACAGAACATAGTAACAGAACTCCAGTAGTTCTGTATGCGAACAGGAAACGCTTCTACCTTCTGTTTGGCAATTCCTTTCTTACCAGGCATTAGCTCTCTCCTCTATATAGCTGCAATGAATTTCACTCAGCTGCTTGCCTCCATTACTTTGAGAATTCATTCTAATAATCACTACACACCATAATCCAACTTCTTCAGCATTTTACTTGTATTCTTTATGCTGAAGTGTACAAATTCAGAGGTAAGCCCTAGCACTCTAAACTCACCTGAAAGAGCAATGCATTGGAACTATGTTAATAAATGAGGAATCAGGAAGTACAGTAACTGCTGAAAGATAAAGGCTGGAGAAACTTACCACTATCATTTGAAATCTGACAGTAGAATTCGCCAGGGTTGTACAGGGTGCACACTATGACATCTACTGTTTGCTTAGGACATAACTTACTCCACATCCAAATATTTTTGTTTGCTGTATCTTCTAGAGACATAGGGGAAGGGGGAGTAGAGGGAAGAAATTAATTTAATTTTGGGAGTTATATATTCTGAATGGTCCTTCACATACTAAGATTTCTTGCTATAAATAATGTAACAGACTAATAGCCAGTGACACCTATTCAGTCTAAAAGCACATAAGAGAAACAGGACAATTGCTTAATATATTTGATCACTGTTGCTAGTGACAAATAGTTCAGAAATCTATCAGGGATCAGAATTTATATAAAGAGAAATTACATGAAGACTAGGCAGGAGTATTCTGAACAGGGGAGACTTTAGAGAATTTTAGTTCCTAATAAGCAGGGTAGAAGGCAGGCAGGAGGGAATTAACTATCACAGAGTGCTGGTGCTTTTCACCATCAAAGCCCGAAGATACAAAAAGACTGTTAAACGTACATTGCCAACGCCATCTATCCCTTATATTGCTTAATAAGGCACAGAATATCTGACATAAACACTAACTCATGACATGCTAAAGCAGCTCTTGTTCACTCCTTTAGCAGGTTACCAAAATTACTAATATTTATCATAGGTCTCAAGTTTCTTAGCATTGTGGTAAGCAGCAGCACACAGAGAGACTATTCTGCTAGTCCTTCCAAAACACAATTCCAAGTGGCTGGCCTTTACTAGACCTTCCCAGCAACAGAATCACAGAGCAGTTGAGACAGAAAGGGACCTTTAGGGATGGATCATCTAGCTCTGTCCTCCTGCTCAAGCAGCAGGCTGCCCAGGACCTTTTCCAGGTGGCTTCCAAGTATCTCCAAGGATGGAGATTTCACAGTTAAGTGTCTTCCTGCAAAATGAAGCTCACATAAGAGATGTGATTGTCAGGATGGCTGAGATATTGAGGGATCTGGCCAGGATGCTGTCTGCCAGCATATTACTTGAGGAACAAGTATTACCAGCAGGCAAAGAAGCCTGGCTCACACCCCTATCTTAACTCTCAGAGTGCAAGACTATTTTTCATACAGTAAAAGATCCAAATCCCTACTGGAAAGGCATAAAGAATAATTACTGCACATAATACATTCAGAGAAGTAGAAGCTGAGTCTAATTTTACCAGTTCAGAAGGAAGAAAGGTTGACAAGAAAAATAAAGAGATGGCTAAAAGCTTAGAGGAGGTTTTAGGATGCTTAACTACTATGATATATAATTGGCTGTTCTTTTGTGTGATGGCAAGATTTCTTCATGGCAAGATTTCTTCATAATAATTTCCTTAATCACGATTACATTGTTTCTTAATTTCTAGTGAGTTTATTGAGATTTACTTTTAATGCTGGATCCAGCAATCACAAATTTTAATAGTTTGAGTTAAACAAAAGTTAATGAGAAATTTTGCAAGCTGGCAGAGAAATATATATATGTTTAAATTCCAACAGATAACACTAATTTTTTAAAGTTTTAAGACAAAAAGCGATTATCTCCGTTTAGAAACAGCATTTAAAATGCAGAAGACCCACAGAGACTTAGGAGAGAGAAGCAGAGGAAGCAGAAATCTAAGCAGACCTAAGCAGAGAAAGCAGAAATACTAGTACAGTCTTTAAAAAAAAAAAATCACTGCAACCCAAATAAATATATTTATGCATTCTAGTACAGATTTACTTTCTATTGATAGAGAATTTGCAATGGCTAGACTTGATGATCCAATCTAGAAGGCTTCTGCCTGTAAGAACTTTGTACCTGCTCTAGTAGGAAGTTAAATAAAGCCAGCACTGCAGAGCTGGCTTGCTGTACTCACCACTTCCCTCCTCCTTAACATTAGTCATTTTAATTGCCGGCAAGTTCATCTTTGATTCCTCAGCTGCACAGCCTTTTTCTATGAGGTAGCTTGATATATTTTTTCCTGGAGTAACTGATGCATCTAGGAGCTCAACCACAGAGCTATTACCCTTTTTATCAACTACTTTTACTGTAAGCACTTTGTCTTGCACCAGTTGTTTCATGACAGAAATAGCTTCCACGGTCCAGGTTCCCATCAATGGTTTTACACCTGAACAGTCAGATTGTACAAAAAGAGTCTGAGAATAGCCAAGGCCTTGGAAATATGCAGAAGTATGAAACAAAACCAAGACTATAGGTCAAAAACCAATATACCAAGGAATTCCCCCCACTCCTCAGACTTCTAAAAAGATTTTTAAAAAAAATCTCAATTTTTGTTGGTTGATTTAATGATAATAATAATAAAAGGTAATACACAACTAGTTGGGAGAACAAATGTAAATTCAGATTAATTTTACCATGAATGACGCACAGAATTGCTGGCCATTGTGTCTCAGGAATACAGCTTAGCTTTCAACATACATTTACAGCAACATCAATAATTTCTAAACCAATGCATCTGCTACTATAAGTTTCTTTCTCCTTACATTTTTACTGCTTACCCTACTAAATTAATTTTCAACAATAATGTTTTAAATAGAATTTTTTAGACTTTGTGTGTGTCTTTGTAGTCTTTGTGTGTCAACACAAGTGGACTGCATTCCAAAATCATATATTTTATACAAGAGTAATTCAATCTTCACTTCAATCATGAAGACTTCAATCACAAAGCATCTATTTTTTACATCTAAACAGACCTTTCGCAGTCCTAAAATAAGCATTAGCAGTTATAGCCAGCATGATGTGCCCCAAAAGACAGGGTTCTTTAGGTCATGTTCCATATTTGTAGAGAGGAAATCAATGTATGAGAGAGGAAATGTTTTCCTTACGTTTTCCTCTAGAGAAAGAAGTGAGAACTAAGAATTTTGGAAATAACGTCCGCTCTCATCTTTACCCTTTCCCTTATTTTAACAGGTGATGCTAGAGGCATGTAATAAGTATATGAATCCTCTTAATTCTCTTTCCATCCAGCCTGAAACCGCTTATCATTTATTTCATACCTGCCAAAGTACATCTTATAACTTGAACAGGAAAGTCCATTAATCTCTGAATCATGGGACGAAGTTTAGTCAGGTGAAGAACTTCAAAATTACCATAATCTATATAGCCCACCAGAACAGTATCTTCAGAAGTATATGCTAAAACAGCAGCACGGTACCAAAGGCTGTCTTCTAGAAGGGAAAATACAAATATTAACAGTACTTAAGTCCTTGCAATGAACTATTTCTTGGCCATACTCCAATATAAAACACAATTTCAATTTTAACGTAAACTTGAGGCAGTTGTGCAGCTGACAAAGCTTTACAAAGCCCTCATAGAAGATGGTATCTATATCTCTTGTGCAAGTCAATTGTTGCAGAAGGTTACCTCCAAATAGGCCTTCTCTCATTCAAATGGATATTGCATGAAAAAAGGTGCATTATGTAGTTGAAGTACTTAAGTTCAATAGATTTAAGCATTGCTTTGTATAGAATATTAACCTACGTTTAGGCAAGTTTAATGAAGTTTTTATCATGAGATTTCTAGTTATCACTGATTTTTAAAGTACATTCCCAATAAAGTTCAGAACTGTAGTCTTTGCTACACAGATACTGAGATGATGAAGCCTCCCACACATGTATAATTCTGCTCCTCTCCCTCTCCCTTTTTTTTTAAATCTAAAAGTCAGTACTTAAAGTCATTAAAAAAAATAGTGCTCAACAATATCAATCCAATTTCTTCATGGTCTTTTGAAAGATCACTTTACACAAAAGTGATCCAATCTCAGATGCTTGCTACATTAATGTACCATTCCACGGTGTGAACAAAGAAACACCACAATAAAAACACGCCTAATATTTGACTGCTGAAACTAATCCTCTAACACACACACAAAAAAACCCACCACCACCTTAAAAACAATTTTTAGCACTACCCAAAGCTAAAACTAGATACATGTACTAAACTTTGAATGAAACATTTCTAAACATAGAGTTAGTTCTAGAATTTGTAATCAGATAATGAACTAAGGTGACTTAAAGAGTACCCATTTCTTTACCTGAGAACTGGGCACAGCACACATTTCCAACAGCAGGACGGAAATTGGGGCTACTGGGAACTTTTTCACAATATTCACCAAGAGACACCTGAAGCTCAGCAAGACGATCTGATGTCAAAATACAGAGAATTTAGAAACCTTACAGTTTGGGAAGCTTTATGGTTATTACAAAAATCACTAACACCCCGAATTTTTATCTCAAAGCCCAGAAAAAAACCTTGTAGTAGGACGGAATAAACACAATTTTATTATTGCATGTAATGTCTAATCTAACTTGGAAATAGTGATCTCATCAGATTAGGACTCTTGTCTCTTCAGCATGAGAGACTTCAAGTCTGAGGAATCACAACTGTAAAGGGAACGCACATGGATAACTAGTTAGAGATTCCTCAGTTCCATGGTTCTTAACTGAGTGAAGCATGGCCTTGAACACCATTATTACAGGTAAAACTATGTGACCAGCAACATCTCCCTCTATTGGAGAAAAACAAAACCACAAACGTGCTCAATAGGTAATAGCCCCTGTTTTCAAACAACTGAGTCACTTACGCCCACTTTGCATCTGTTGGCAGAAAAAATTTTCTGGGGTTTGAATGTGGGAAACCACCCCAGAAAACACATCTCCAATACAGACAGAAACACACTTTGCAACAGCATCAGTGTTGAGAACTAGTTCTTTATCTTCAGGCATTTTTTCTCTATTTCCTTTAGAATGATTTTCTAAAACACACAGGCAAAAGAAAAAAAGGAAAAGAGGTTACTGATCAAGAACTCTGAAACGAATAATGTTACAAGGTAGCATTCAGAGTCACTAAAAATAAAAAAAAGCTAAATTAAGCTACAAAATCTAAGTTTGCTGAAATAGTTTATTTTGTTGAATCGTTCAGAATTTCATTGTTCATGACATGCAGTCATCATTACAACAGTATTTTATACTAGTAAAAAGCATATGTGCTGGAGTTAGCAATGACTCACAGAGCTCCTCTGACCAATGCAAGTGAAGCAGGTGAACAGCTGCAGTTTTACTACACTCATAGCATTTTTCAGTGTGGAAGGATCTAAAATTCCCCACGTTTTCTCTCCTACTTAAGTGTGACTTGCTTACCTCTTGGAGAATCTGTTCCCATGGCATTGTTCTTGGAGGATAAGTCAGACCTCACTTCTGACAGTACTTCATCCAGACATTTTCCTGAAGTGTAGATGTACAATGTAATTACCTGTTTGTTAATTCACAGCTAACTAATTCAGTTTAGTCAAAGGAGTTCCAGAACAAAACTAAGTATAACCTAAGTTGCCATCACATATTGAAGTGATGACATTCTACTTATTTCCTGAGCACATAGCATACTTCGAAAGCAGAACAATAACAGTTTTGGAAAAACCTAAGTATTGGAGCTTCTATCAGTTTCTATCAGTCCTTCCCTGCTAAGGAAATCACATAAGAAAAAGAAATCAAAAAGATCATGCACAAAAGGCATGCAAGATTTCCTAAGACCACAACATTTTTGTGATTTTGTTTCCAAGAGGCTAGGAGGTTATATTGCTTTACCATGAGTGCACTGTAAAGCAACAGAACAAAAAATCTGCTTAGTATAACCCTGAATCAGTTATATTTACAAAGGGCTTAGGTGCACCATCATTCTTCTGTCTGCAGCGACTATGAATGGAGACAAGCTTGCTGTCTGTCTGGAATACTATTAAATTAAGATCAAATGTTTCTTCATGTTTCTGTAGCTGTGTATCTATGATAAGAATATTCTCAGATCATCATCATTTATACTCTGCTTCCCACGGAGGAGAGCAGGCACCTTCTGTGCACTGACCTGCTTCCACAATCACATCTCCTAGGCTCAGCTGAAGAGTTAAATCGCAACTCCCCAGTAAAGCTTAGTTACTCGGCTTGGCTCTGCTAGAGAGTGTTCTTAAGTTATAATTTTGAATTAGAGTTCTCAACTTAAATACAGGTAACATTATCAGTGGTGAAAACTGCAATTCTTGTCTGTATAGGTATGGGTGAAGTATAATAAAAGCTAATAAAACACTTAACAGTGGAACTAGAAACTTGATACTATCATATTCAAGAGACAAAAATGCAGGAGAGAATGAAAAATGTGTACCCATATCCAAAGCAGACATAAACAAGTATATTCAGAAAAAAAAGAAGTGAACTAGTTCTAAGACTCTACTGAAAAGATAGAGTTAGAAGATCAATCTAAGGTTATTAAGCATGACAGAAGACAGACCAGGCACATATCTTTTTAAATGACCTCTTTAACAAGGGTAAGATTTAGGACAATAAATAGATAAATAAAATAAAAATACAGAAGAGAATATATTGCAGAGGCTAGGGAGCGTGTGTGAGAGAGAGCGAGCACGCGCGAGAGAGCGAGTGCATGAAAGTCTTGACAGTTGTTTTTTTCACTGCATTACCAAGCCTGCCTTACCAGAATCTGGAAGAGTAACATCTACAGCAAAACTGAGCATCATTTCTTCCTGTAATATGTCAACAACAGTTACTGAACAGTGCTTTCCCATGAACTGAGGGGAAGAGCTGGCAATGTCATCACTCCATCCGTCTTGTGTTGGATCATAATTAGCAAGGGAACACTTAATGACCTGGAAAGAATTAATAGTAATTACTGCTTTTTTTATTTTTACTTTTTATTTGCCTCTTAAAAAAAGTAAGGCCCTTAAAAATATCATCTGGCATATAAAAGTAAAAGCTGTTGATGGAATTTAAAGCACTACTGACTTGGGCAGTTTGTTTACAAAGCACAGGGAAATGAAGTTCACCTTTTAAACTACATTTCCCCTTTGATTCCCCACTATATATACAGCCATGGTTATGTAAGATAGTGTATCACACTTCTAACAGGATAGAAGAGTTCACGCCCCACTTTCACTGAGCACATAACATTGTGATAGCGACAGTCATACAAGATACACTCATTCTGAGAGCTATTCATTTAAAATATCACAACTCATTCTTAGAAAAATGAGACTTACACATGGAGGAAAGAGCTCAATGTTTTTGTGAAGTGCTTTAATCCTGGAGAATGAAATATTTTCTTCATTTCCATAATCAATATAGAATATTTGGGCTTTCTTCTGCACTATATCCACATCTTTTACCAATGCTCTATTCCAGGTCTACATAGAAAGAAATGATAGCTTCGTCAGTAAGAGCACAATGTAGTGAAGCAACAGATTTACTTCAGTATGAATTTTGAGGAATGCACTATCATCATCAGCTTTTATCTTTTCATTAAAAAAGGCAACTGAACAATACTGAAGTAACTCAAACAAACACACCTCAGTGTAGCGGTAGCTACTGTGAGGACAGAACATCATTTCTACTGACACTGGCTGGCAATAAAAAACAGCCCACAACAGAGAAGGGAGCAGAGGAAACAAAAAATGTAGACAGTGTAGTTTTACTACAGAGCTTATGGGAAATGCCATCAGGAAAGTCAGATGAGAAATGAGGTCAGAATAGTTTCCTTAAATAAACAGAATCATATTCCAAACTTTCAACTGTAGTAGTACACACTTACTAAAACCTGGAGTCTTTAAGACAGCAGTATGACACACCAGCCTTTTAAGCTCTAAGTATTTGGAAGCACACAGAGGTAAAGCTTCTGGAGAAAAACCCTTTAGTGTGTCAGAGTTGCATTCCACGTATTACCAACTTTATTATGTTCTCCAAACACTGGAACATGTGGATCTTTATTTTCACTGGCAGAGGCACAAAAGTAAAACAGATAGTTCAATGGGTTCAAAACAGAACTGTCATTTCAGGGATAGTAAGTTGTTACCTGATCCAAAGAATATTTTGCAACACAGACTTCCCCTTTGATAGGGATATACTCCTCTTGAATAACGGTATTAGCGTAACAGTCTTGCAGTTCCACAGAAATTCTATTGATATGTTCTAAAAATTCTGGAGAACTTATCTGGATATAAAATTCACTTGGATTCCTGAACTCTGTTACTATACCCTAAAGAGAAAAGTCACAGTTCATGAGAATTATTCAATAGCAACATACAGTATATCACTTAAGACCAGTGTACATTAATATATGCATTAAATTCTATAATTAATTCTGTTTCTTAACTGGCAGTAGAAATCGTAGGGAATAAATACCAGTGATATTCACTTTCACAGAAATATTTTTCTCCCGTATTTTCCCATTGCATTTACTCATCTTCTAACAAAAACAAACAAACTAAGCATCTTAATATTCTCTCAAAAGTACCTTTATTTCCATAGCTTTTTTCAACCCTACAGTTTGAAGATCTGAAAGCATTATTTTCTTGATGTGCTCTTGTATCTTGAGGGAATCCACAGATGCTGAATTACCCTATTTAAAACAACTAAAAGTTACACTTCAATTTAAGTTGTTCAGATAAATGCTGTTGTAATAACATGGAATGAATAACTTTTAGCATCTCAGGTAGCATTTATGAAAGTGCTTTTGTTGACTTTCAGTAAGATAAAGTCTTAAACACTCATTACATTTGAAAACATAAATAAAGCATGCATAAAAAATGCATACTTAAGTAAGTATGATACAGCGACTATGAAGTGGAAAAAAAAAGTGCTGGCATACTTACACAACGGCAATAGAGGTATGAATTCATCTGTTCCTTTTTTACCTGCTTAAACAGCACTGACGACTTCAAAGTATCTCCTGCTTATGTTGTTCTCATAAGTGGAATTGAACTGAATACATCTACTGTCTTGTAGTTTTAATACCACAGCTACCAGGATAACTAACAGGAGGGCTTTTTTTTTTAAATAAAAAGTTTTAACATCTGGTCTAACACATCTAATGCATACATGTCTATTACACACTAAAAACATTAGAAATACATATCTCATACATATCAATAGAGAAAGCCTCTTTAATGATCTTTTGGATCAGCACACTTCAAAAAAAATGCAGAGATAGATTAGTGGCAATTTTAATAAAAATGCACTTGACATTAAGAATAACATTAAGATACTGTAGGTGACCGTCAAGATGACTGTACATAAGCAGAAAAGAGGGATAACATTTGTTTTAGTAACGTGCATGGACACAAGTACACCTTGCAGAAAACTAAAAGAAATACCATAAGTCACGATAAACCCTCCTTACCAAATTCCTTCAGAAAAATCTAATAAATGAATGAGCTACTTCAAAGTAGGAAATAACAGGGGAATTTCGCTATACAGTGCAAACATGCTGCTATTTGGAGGTATGTGTATTTAGTTCCTTCAGTAAGGATGATTCCAGGAACTCTTAACGGATAGCAAAATGATTCCTATGTAACAGCTTATAGGAAAATTACTGGAAGAATTGCTTGGCTAATACTAAGATTGAAGGAGATTAGAAATTGATAGAAAGGAAAACTTTAACAGGTTTTATTTCTGTTACATTAAGGAAATAAGATTTTACTTGTATTTGTCAAAATGCAATAAGACATTAAAAGTATTTCCCATAACAACACAGGTCCCAGCATCAGATTGCTATGGAGACAGGGGAAAAAACAAAGCCAAAAACAAACAAAGAAACAAGAACGCTAGTTTTTTTCTGAAGTGGACAAGAGTTTTACCACAGTTTTGGTAAGGGCTTTTGAAGCTGTAACTTTTCAATGCTTTTACCAGCAACTTCTCAAATGAAACAATGAGTATTTCCAAAAAGAGTAAAAGAATGACTTTTGAAATTGTTCCCTTCCTATACAGGTTAAATTAATATTGTACCTAGCTCAGAGCAGCTCCAGGACACAGAGCACATTAAAAACATATTCTATACCTTAAGATAAACTTTTCTCTTGGCTTTAGCAGGTGCCTTGTCTCCATTGTTACTGCTTAAGCTGTAATCAAATAAAAATGTGTTATTTTTGAAGAGCCAAAGACAAGCAAGTAACATGAGTACCATCTATTTGCAATTAAAACAAAACGGCTGTCTTCATTGTAGGGGCTCATGTCAATACTTCTTTCTCCCAAGAAAGAAGGGAAACGACAAATTTGTTAGCTCCCTGACACGCAACACTTGGTATATTTTTCCTGATGACACCAAAATTTAAAATATAACAGAAAGTAATTTAAGTTTAATTGAGTTGAAAAATCAACCTCATACTGCTCTTGTGGAGTTCTAACAATGTAATTCTAGGCAAGCTTTCAAAACCATAAAAGCACAAAAAGAGATCATTTTGCTACTTCAGTTAGGAACATTAATGAAACAAAAGTAACAAATAACAGCTTGATTGAAAAAAAAAAAAAAAAAAAAAAAAAAAAAAAAAAAAAAAAAGCCAGCTTCTGCAGTCCCTATAGCAAAGCAGGGGAATATAGTTGTATTCTCTTGTAAACTTTATGGACACCTGGCTGCAAATTTGCTGAGCAACATACACTATCTCTTCAGACTGCTATCATCACTCTTGACTAGATGCTCAGATGACTCCCAAGTATCTCAGCTGGAAGGTCAAGGAGTGATGGTGAGCAGTGAGACAATGACCTGGCTGAGAGAATTTCTAACTGAAGCTGTGCTGACCAAAGACAAGGTGCCAATGAAGTTCACCCAGGCTACATTTGTACTCCAAAGGAGCCTTTGCAGTGTCTGTTTAAAGAAACACATTAATTGTGTTTAGATTCATTGTCTCCCTTCCCTTCATCTTCAAGGCCAATAGCAAAGTCACTGTGTGTTCATGTTACTCTGAATACAGACACAAAGCAGAACCCTTTATCTTTGGTTTAGGCCATCTGTGAGGCCACTTTATATAACATCCTGACAAACTCAATACTATCTTTCTAGTCATCCTTCTAACACAGAGCTGAACTTTCTGACAATACTAACCTATGAAAAAAACAACGTTTTACTGTGACATTATACTTAAATTGTAACTTAAGATATATTAGCAGGAACGCTGTCCTTCTATAAAAAGGAAGCAGAATTTTTGACAAACTTACTCCTGTTTAATTGGCTTGCACACCACACCATGCGTTCGCCAATCTTTCTTCTGGCAGTCTGCAGAGCAGTAGTATATCTGCTTACATTGTGAACACCTCAAGGATCCTAAAAATATGAAGTCAGAGGGAAACATTTATGGTAGAAGAGATGACAGTTGTTATGTTACCAACTCCAGACATTTAATAATTACAACAAGGTAGCACTACAGTTCTAAGTACATACAAATTGGTATCTTTACTCATCCATATCTACACTACTGACCTAGCTGACCAAAGTCTGTCTATATTTAAATTTGAAAAAGATAATATTCAATAAAGAATGAAATTATTCATCAATTCTGTAACTCCAACTATGAGATGATAAAATGCCTTTGTTTTACAGCAAGAGCCTAGAAGACATGTTTCTCAGCAATCAGTAAGGATGATGAAACATACCAAATAGACCACAGTGATGGCAGGTCATCTTTGGTGAAGGTAATGCTAAAGAACTGAAGAGACTCTCATCATAGCCAATAGAAAAAACATTCTCAGAAGAATATTGCCTCTTTGGCTTCTCCTGAATCACATCAGAATGGGGGCCCTGCAAGAGAAACAGCTCACGTGCTTCTTACCAGAAGATACAGTCCTTTAGGACAGAAATATACTGAAATATCAGAGTATGGCAACAAAATTCAAGTTAAAATTTCAAAGTTCCAGCAAAAGCAATATATTCTAATCATTTCTGCTATCTAGAAATGGTCAGATTATTAGGTCTAATTATAAAGTACAGTAACTCACGGCATTTCCTTCACCAACTGCAGCTGTCAACCACGACTTCCTGCTATGAATTACACCTTCTGCTGAATTTCCTAAGAACAGAAACATTTGCAAAGTGATTCAACAACCCTAGTGCATGCCTGTGCTTTGGGAAAACGTAGTTAAATGAAACATTTATCTATTCCTACTATTTTGCTACCACATTCACTTCTTATTACTCTGATACTACACCGATTCAAATCTTACCACCAGTGAGAATATTAGAACTACAGATTCACTACTCTGCATCTATCCCTCCAACAGAAGAGGTTAATGCCTCTATTCATAAACTTATGCCAGTTATATTCGCTCAGTATAAATTAAGAAATTATGTAACACACACAACTTCATACAGATGAAGGGAGAAAACCCAGAATAGACAATTGTACAATGCTACGCATACACATAAGACATGGCTTGAACAACAGCTAAGGTGCAGGGCAGCCTTTTCTATTTTCTTTCAATATGCTCTTTCACTGAGCACACAGTTTATGTGCAGCTTACATTTACATGCAATTTTGTCATATCAACAACCATTCAAAAACAAAAATTGTGGTCTTTCCAGTGAGCTTATTCTTTAGACAAAGGTTTTCATTCACAAACTATCAGATTTTTACCACAAACTTTCTAAGTTCCTTATGTGTCAGTAAGAGACTAACATTTCTACAAACGGGCAATTCATTTTCCCCACAAGTAATTTGGTGCAGTCAGACGACACAGGTCCCTCCGAGTTTGCTCTAACAGCTTTATTAGTGCAAATTCTCCTCTGGGCCAACAGTCACACAGTTTGCATGGCATTTTTAGGCCTTGAAGCAAGCTCAAAATGCAGTCAAGCTCAATGAATCCTCCAGACTAAAGATAGCTACATACCAACATACAATGAAAGGAACTTAGTTCTTCTAATGAAAAGTAATGCACATTATAAAAGAGCCCTGAGATAGTGCTGAAGGAAAGAAACATTAGTACAGTAACTCCAATTCCCAGTGCACGTACCTGCACTGAATTCCCTATCTTTTCGGCTCACACAAGTCTAGATAATAATGAATTAGCTACATTTACAAGCCATAATCATACTGACGATCTTTATCAATAGCCAAGCATATATTCAGCTACAGCTTTTTGACAAAAAGTTTAAAACTTTCTCTGAAGTTTTACCTTTGTTCTTCAAGCGAAGCGGTTGGGCCATCATGAAAACCGTGACTATAAGGTATGACAAAAGGTGCTCATAACGCTCCAATGCCAGGTAACTACAAAAACAGGGATTTAATAGTTAGCTCATGCACACATATACACTGATCAAGTATTTTAATATCTTCTAGTTTTCAACTTAAACACCAATATGGAAGGATAATTATCCACTATAATTTGCTCAGTAAACAGTAAAATACTTTAGATGTTCAAGATATCAACAAAAAAACCTTCAAATTAAAAATACATAAAACTTCTGTCCTGCAGGAATTCACTGACAAGCAGCTAAACTATTGCTTATTGCTTAGCAAACTATTGCTAAACTATTTTTTAAAATACAACTACATTAAAACATATTCACTCTTCAATCCTGGGAGTAAACCACAAGTGAAGAATCTATCGTGTTATATGTTGATGCCCTAAAAAGTCAACTAACTTACCTTTTGAAAAAGCCATTTTCTGAGGGAAAATACTATCCTGGGCTTTGCCACAGTGACCTTCTGGACAAAAGTTTCCAAGAGTAAACATCTAACGTTACACATTCTAATTATGAAAAAAAAAAACTCTAAGTAGTGGTAGAAAAATCAACCTGAAAGTCTTCCAGAATATTTATACCATAACCAAGCCATCCAGAGACCAGCTATCCCAACTGCAACGGGGCACAACAGTACCCTTTCACACAGCACTGCCCTGGATAACTAACTTGGGATGAGATTATCGTGTCCCAAGCCACGGTGCAGAACTCCGACTCAGCGGCAGCTGCTCCATTCCCACAACACAACTGAGAGCCAAAGGCCTTCCCGGACCGGGGTCTTCCTGGCTCCCCTTGCAGCGAGGTGGAGCAGGGAGGCTCCCGGTAGGGCACGGGGCCCCCTATGGCCCCCCAGGCCGCCCCCCTGAACAAGCACCTGCCCTCGGACGGGCTCCCGAGGTCGCTCCTCGCTCCACGGGGCACGGACAGACCCTCCCTCCTCCTTCTCACCTGCCCGCCACGAGGCCTGGGCGCTGGGCGCAGCCGTTAACGGTCGCCAACGGCCGCTGCGCGGGGTGGGGGCGGGGCCAGGGGAGCCGGTCTGCGCCGGTTCGGGCCGGTCTGTGGTCCCGCCCAGGAGGTCCTGCACCGGTAACAGGAAAGTGCTGCGGGTACCGGCTATATAGGGCTGTCTCACACGAAGACAGAAGGTGGCTGTAAGAACTCTTTTAAAATAAGGAGGTTTATTGCATTAAATCACTTTTTTTTTTGCTGCTTTTCAGCCTCAAAGTACTTTGTTGCCACTGTTGCCAATGTCACTTGTTAGCACACTTCCAGGCAGGTTTTTTAACCCAGCGACAATAGTGAGAAGAACAGCGAGAAGACATTGGAAAAAAAGGTGCGAACGACAAAATCTGAAGGAAAACAGAAATAAACGTCCGCAGGGGGCGACCTTGCCCAGGGCTCCCCGCTTGAGGCCCCTCCACGAGGCCGCCGCCCGCCCCGCAGGGGTTAAAGCGCCCCGGCTGAAGCCCCGCCCATATCACACGGCCCCGCCCCCTCGTGCCCGCCCACCTGAGTGGCTCCACCCCTGCGCCCGCCCACCGGTCTGGCCCCGCCCCCCACCGGCCAGCCCACCGGACTGGCCCCGCCCCTCGCCGCCCGCGCCGGGGCCGGTCCCGCCGCCGCCATCTTTGTTGATGTGTCAGGCCGCGGTGCGGCCGCTGCTCGCGGCGCTGCCGCCGCCATGGGGGAGCGGCCGCCCTCCTAGCGAGCCGGTGAGGCGGGCGGCGGAAGGGGCCGCTCGGGGGGCGCGGGGGAGCGGCGGGCCCGCAGGGCTCCGAGTTGCCCCGGTTTGTGGGGCGGGGGGGAGGCGCCCCTGAGCCGCGGCGGCCCCGCGGGTGTCCAGGATGAGCGGCGCGAGGGCCGCGGGCAGCGTCCCGGCCGCGGCCTCCGCGCGCCCGGCCAGGCTCCGGGAGCCGCTTCGCGCTTTGTTCCGCGGGGCTCCTCGCTGCTCTTCCCTGCGCCGCTCTCCTCGTGCGCTCCGGTAGCTCGCGGCGCGACGCGGCGGCTGCGCGGGCCGGGCGTCCTCGCCCTGGCCCTCTCGCTTGGGCAGAGCGGCGTGTCCTTCCCCGTCCCGTGCGCGGCCTCGCTGCGGGGCTGCGGCGGGAGGCGCCCGCCGCCGGGCGCTGCTCCCCGCGGGAGCCTCTGCCCCGCGGGCCGGGGCTGCGCGCCGCACCGCGCGCTGGCGGCCTTGCGTTTGCCCTTACCTGGCTCGCTTTGCCGTGGGAAAGTGCCGTCCCGAAATTAAAATACGGCAAACGGAACACCGCCAAAAAGCAAACACGAGCAGGTTTTTTTTTTGTATAATGAAATTTTGGAAACAGCACGATAACAGCTCCATTTTTGATACCAAAAAGGAAATATAATCGCTAAAATTAGTTTGCTATGACTGCTTATGTTACCTCGACTTCTAGGAGGAGGAAATTAGGGTCTAAAAGTTTGAGAGAACCTCTGAAGCTGTTTCAACAAGCACTAGATTTGAAATATGCTTTTATATATATACACACACCCACACATATATATGTGTGTGCTGTAGTTGTGTATTACCTTCTGAGGTCTCTTCCTCTTGTTCTGGAATTCTCCAGTCATCCTTGCTTGGCTTGGCTTAGCTTTGCAGCCTTGGCATTAAAACAAAATTCTCTATTATGCTGATGTCTTAAAAGACTTACTTGATTAGGGGTTGTTGACGGATGTTTATTAGTATAGCAAGGTCCTCTATTTAGAAGTGTTTAGAAGTGTTCCTTTTAGGAACTGGAAAAACAAATACGGAGAATGGTTTCTTTGTATCTAGATAACAGGTATTGTTGTTTTTCATTACCACAGACTAAAGGTGAGCCTTCTAAAGATGGTTTTATAAAGGGCTGTGTGAGGAAGGAAAAAGCATGTTCGTTTCTCTATGTTGGACCTTACTCGGTGGAAGGTTATATGCTATTTTAGTGACCTGCAGCATTCATTAACAGTTGGGCTGAGGTATTAGGCACTATCCTGTACTAGTTCTTGGGTGGCTTGGTTTGAACTATTGCTTTTCCTGTTGCAAAAACAAGCAGACTGTTTTAAGGACAGCTTGTCTTTAAACCATTGTCAGAGATGTGGATGCCTGAAATTGAGGCAAAAATCTTGTGAGGAACAGATCGGTGCTGAGGGAAAGGAGATGTTGGAGAAAATCGTGATCATACTTTCTAGAAATAGATGATATACTAATATTTTTAGGTGATAATATTGCATATGTTACCACCTCTTAGTAATTAACAAAGCTCTGTATTCTGTAAAGCTTACAGTTTGCCCCTTCACATCTTTACAGGATGCAAGATGTTTGGTTTTTTCTTCTTTTTTTTTCCACCGGGGATGCATAAGAAACACTGCAGGAAGGTCAGTCTTGAACACAGTAGTGCCTTAACATCCTCATGAATGGGCTTTTCAGTATGCAGGCAGTCGTACTGTGCTTGGGATATTACAGCCCTCTTGCATGCTCTGGAAATGCTCTTCCAAAGCACCTTGTGCTTGCACATGGGCTGGCATCTTCGAATCTAAACACAGCCAGGCTCACATCTTGCTCCAAGCACTGCTGAAGGCACCATGGCTGAAACCGTGGAGGTTACGGCAGAGCTGCTGCTAGAGGAGCACAGATTACTGAGTGGTTTAGGTGAGAGTTACCTTCTTCCTAAAGGATTGTTATCTGCTGAAGAAGATCTGCCAAAAAAGCATTAGGAGTCTGTGCATAAACCTTTAAATAGCAAATGTCTTTTAAATGGCTCTGTTGCTAGTACCTTTTTTTTTTTTTTCTTCCCCCCCCTTTCATTTCCTTCTTATGAAACATGAGCTCTAACCTTGGGACTGGTCAGACTAAAGAGTAACATGCTCAGGATACCCAGGGTGTGATGGCAGGAGCAAACCCAGTGTTACTCATTAAGCCTAACTGTTAAAGACTATGTGACGGCATAGCTCCATGTTGTGATGTTAATAGGATCATACTGTTAAGAGCGTTTGTTAGATCAGTAGAAAACTTCCCCATGCCTTGAGGGAGATTATACTGTATTGCTCACCTATTCAACTTGTCACCTAAGCAAAGAAAATCAAAGGTAAAGAATGAGTAAACCTTGTCTTGTAAAGCACCTGACTCACACGTTGAAAGAGCTGATAAAAACACTGAGCTTTGCACCTTGGCATTGACATGGAGCAGTGAGCAATCAATCTTTATATAAAGTAAGATTAAAAGTGAACATGTTACTGAGCTTAAGTATTAAACTGTTGAAAGCAAGGCAATCTAGCGAATACTTCTGTGTGTATCCACCCTTCTTTTCCCTTCTTAGTGTTTGCATCAAAGCAAGTCTTTGTGTGCACTCAGCTCGGGTCAGGTTATGCTGGGGCCAGAGGACTTGGTGTCCCAGTACATGGCCACTTTTACCACTTGTGCTGTGAACAAAATTTGTCCCGTCTGTATTGTGCTTCTGGAGGTTTACTGTGCACACAGGACTGTGTTACTTTCTTAGCACTACCAGCTAATACCGCAGTAGGCCCTATGTCCTTTTCAGATCTTGAGGAGTCAAACTTTACATTCATCTTAGTGTTAATACTGAAGAACTGGTGTAGGTGAAACTGAAATGATCTTAGATTTGCTTCACAAATGTGTGATATGTAAATAGAGAAAGGGTATCGGTGCATTATACCTTGAAGCCATCATCTGTTATAATAAGCAGTGTGTATCTGATGCAGCTTCATCTCTTCTAAAGCAGCTTTCCTCCTCTTTTTTTGTAGATGTTGTGATGCATTTCAACGTGATTCATCCTTTTACTGTGTTTCATCACTTCTAATTTACTTGCCAAGCTTGCTGCTGTGATTGCCTTCATGTGTGGCAGTATAACTGGGTGTATTTCAAACAGCAGTTTGGGCTTTGTGTTCAAACATCTTGTTCTAGATTATGTAAAATGTCTAACTTTGCAGACCTTTCTGCCGCACTCCCTTTCGGTTTGGCTGAATCTCTTGCTCTGTTCCACTATGTAGCTCCTCTATAGTATGTTGTTTTTCATATTTTGTCCTATGGATTTCTACAGTTGTATGACGTTGATAGTGTAATGTCTTGGCATTAAAATAATCTGCTTAAAGATGATGGGATGCATTATTCTCCAATGGTTCATCTAAGATTGTTTCTAGTAGGTTACTTGGTAGCTTGGTATTAAAAAGAGAGGAATTGCCTTTTGTAGAACAGACTGTTCAGACAAATGGGGTATGGTTTTGCTAAATGCCAAATACCACAAATACCGAAGTATTTGTGAAGCATTTCTCCATATGATTTCTTCTAAGCTTACTTTGTTTGCTTGTTGTTTCATATCCTTAGGACTTGTCAAGAAAACTCTAAAAATCATGTTATTACAAAATATCATTAATAAAAAGCTCCATTGCAGAGTCCACCGCAGTGTTCTTTAGCCAATTGATCCTCCCCAACTGCTTAAGATAAAATCCTTCCCC